TTAGTTGAAATTACTTCAGGCGTTTGAAATTACGGTAGAGCCGGTCTACTTACATACGTTTATTTATTTTTTCCTGGTAACATTGATATTTCTAAGGGTAGGGGTGAGCAGAAAGTGATATGAAAAAATTATAAACAATGACCGACATTAGTTTCCTGAAGCCTAACTATCATATTTGTGTAATAATATCCAAATATGCTACTCAATTGTTTTGTTTTCTTATAATATACCCTATCAAGTGTCAAATGCATTACTTGAACTTACTTTTTCCATGTCGAAATTAGGCACAGGATGAAAATTAGGACATTTATGTCCCGAAACGACACTCAAAGAACTAACTATCATCACAGATAAAAGACGCAAGCCATTAAACTTCATTGTATGACGGTGTATATAACACTTAAAATTAATACTTTAAAAATCTAAAAAAAAAACAACGTAATTATATTACTTAAGTTATCATCGCATGTTACAGTATGCTTAACGACCTAAATATATAGGGCTTTCTGTTTCCCTTAAGAACGTGTATTAAGAGTTTTAGGTTTTAATTAACTTTTTTTTTTCTTAAGTTCTTTTGGAAAAGTGAAATTAAAAATTGATATTAAACCGAAATCAGCTACCCTAAAAAATTTTATTTGACCACTATTGAAATATTTTGCACACAAATCCAAAAAAAATATTTTAACTTCGTTGCGAAATAAAAGCAATGAATATTGCGATTATTTGTAAAAGAAAATTCGGAAATGAGTATGATTCGGATAATGAGCAAAAAAATATTTCTAAAATTTTCATTTTTATGAATAGGCAAAAGATGTTTAGATACAAGTTTAGACATAGAACTTGTTTCAAAATTTGTTTTAGATTTTTACGTTTTAATAATTATTAAGAACATTTTCGAGGAAATGCGTATAAGACAAGAATATTAAGTTTATATTTATATTTTTACAAGTTTAAATATTTATTGAAAACATTTTTTGCATTTGACAAATGAATCGCGGCAATGCGACGATTATAGAAGTTCGAAATTTAGTTGATTTTTGAAAAATTGTGAGTTAACTTCTGCGACGATGTGACTGTTCTAAAGTCACGGCAGAATTCAATTTAAAATGTATAAAAGCTTTTCTTCAAAGTATTTTTAAATTTCCCTATTTCCAAATAAAAGCATACTTACGACTTTTAAAGTTTGACAGTGCAGCTTACTATAAATGATGTACTGAATTTTGGTGTAGAATTTTAAGCTTATGTACTTTTTAGTTGTTGATTTTACACGTAGATCGTCATGGCATGGCGTTTAGAGTTTAAGCATTATTTTTGGTTATTAGTTTTACACATTATTATGAGAATTTATTTACATAGAAGGTTGAGTATGACAATTTATCGATAAAAAAAATATAGGGTTTAATAAGAAATTAAAATATTTTTTTTCATATTGTTGTTAAACAATGTGATCTCAATTTTTCCCATTTTGGTTTGTTTTTACCCCCCCCCCCCCAACTAAGTTTTCTTGATAAAAACTTTTGACACTTAAATGGTAACGTATATATTTTATTAACTTTTTATACTGAGAATAATATTTTAAAAATGTTGACTGGTCGATAATCAGTTTCGGATAACTATTTTTAAAATTATAAGAGTTTTAAAGTTAGGATGGGAGGGGAAGTGTGGTTGGGAAATGCGCGCGGATAATAATAGTAATACACTCCGCCTTTCTCCTACCCTAAACTAAACCTGCCCTAAAAAGAGGGTAAAAACAAAAAAAATTGTGAAAAATTGAGATCACATTGTATAATAACAATATGAAAAAAAATATTTTAATTTCTTATTAAACCCTATGAGATATTAAGTGGTTTAAGATAAAATAATCACCCTGTAGTATCGAGAATATTGTCAACTTATGATTTATTATAATTTTCGATGTTCACAAAGCTACCACGTAATTCTCACCACATATATTCAGGTGTTTTTCAGTTAAGGAGAACGGAAAGCGCCAAATTGTATTCAAATAAAAACTTAAACAAGAAGTCACTTTTACATAAATGAACAAATCTACACGTTAAGAATATTATGTTCAAAAGTCTAGTGACTTGATAATATTTGTACGTTCAGTTCAGGGTTGTCAACTATTCATAGTTAAAATCCGAATAAAAAGTAATGAGTATATCGTTCGAAAATTAAGTCCAATACGGATTTTCTCAAAATTATTCTATTGTACTTGGTAATTTTAGTAAAAATTGGATTTTATTAAAATAATATTCTAGTATTGAACCTCATATAAACCTTTGGACTAACCAATAATCTAACCGAAAATATCGTCCAATGGAATCTTCGAATTAAGACCAGTTATTAAAAAACTGCAATACTTAAATTAATAATAAATTAATTTAATTCTCATGTCTGACAATACATGTTTGCGTGTTTCGATATTCTGTGATGTTTACAAAGACATTTAGCAATCGTTATGGGCAAACAGTTTTGTGAACTCTGCGTTACAATTATTATACATTCAGGCATTGTAGTTTTTTGTATAGATTGCACGAGTAGTACATTTTTAATCAAATTACAAACCTTAAAGCCAAACTGTTTAGAATGTACCACAATTTAATAACTTCATTTTGGATTGTGTTTGCCGTTACAATCGTACAAAATGGAACGAGGGTACGCACCATGCAACCATCTTCGGCGGAGTCGTTGACACTGTCGTTGACACCAGATCAGCTTGAACTGATGCACGGCGTTTATAAACCACATAACTGGCCCGTTTTATGGTTTCACTCAATCAAATTTCTAGAAGAATGGATGGCTGTGAGACGTTTACTTGATTCAAATGCTAGACCTGGGTTATGGAAGAAGTTGAACCTGATACCTACGATGATGGCATGCAATTACGGTTTACAATTTTATTGGTTTCTCTCGTTGGCGATCAATATAATTAACGAGTGTAAACGGATGTCGCGATACCGTGATATCAACAGTAGCCAATGTTGGAACAAACTTGGTGTGATTCTCCCAGAGGGTTCGTATACAATGTTACGGGTGTTGCGCTCATTGGAGCACGCCCATTCCATTATCGGTGACGATATTAAATTAGATTTATTTTACGAATTTACGTCGGTGATCCGGAAATTCCTTACTACTGTCAAAATACCGGAAGACAATGATTACGTGGACCAGATAATAAACCATAAGGAGAAGTTGATCACCTTTTTAAATTTATTTTGTCGGCCAAAGCGCCCACCATTGGATTTAGACGAGTCAAAGAATGAGTTTCAAACACAATTTCCCGAAGCTCGCAACTACGATTTTTATGCACACATAATGAAGTATTACATGAAAGACGTAAACATTCATTTGTCGAATATTGGTTTCCGTTATGATTTTAGTACGGACGAAACATCCTATATTTGTCCATTGGATCCGTTATTCGATCCAAGTTTGGATGGTACATCAAACAGTAATACATCTTAAAGCAATGTTTGTAGCAACAGTACATTACCATAGACGAATTGTGTAATTTATAAGGATTTTATTTTCTACATTAAAATTGTTTCCAGTTAATAGATTTAATAAAAATTCTTGCGATTTTGCCACGCTAAATATGTTAAAGCTTATACGATTATTTATAAGACTTCTTATTATGGAACTAAATAATTTAGTAAAATATGTAATAAAAGTAAAAAAATGTGTTATATTATATTATATAAACTGTGTTTTAATTTTGATGAAATAAAGCCAAATGTCATCTGGCTCCTTTGGAATATGTATCAATATTTATCAGATGTATCCTCAATGATAATTTTTTTCTTGGGTTTTGATTTATGAACAGAGTGATCAATTTGTTTTCTATACACTGTACCCATTTATAAAGAAATGTATTCTAATGTTGAACAATTATTCAATTTGTTGCACTATCTACAAAGTAGTCAGTAAGAATAAAATAGTATTGAGTTGCTTAAGTTTTTCTAAAAAAAGTATCCATAATAAAAAAGCACTTTTTTTAAATTAAAGTTATCAACAAATAAAATATAATTGAGTAGTGGTAGTAAGGGTGGTCCAGTGTTCACAGATCTAAATACAAATAACGACAAAAACATTGTACCCAATGTCAATAATTATGTGCATACAAATTAATTTTTAGTATTAGAGTCGATACGATTAGGGTTGATCATCTTTTATAAAACTGAATTGACATAGTTACCCATATAGTAAACAATATAATGCAATTATTTTCATTACCCGTCGACTGTCTATTCACTCTAACATTAACCTGGAAATTGACTACGGCTAACGATTACGTATTTAAAAGGGCGAAAATTAAAAAAAAAAAAATCACCCTTTCCTCGTCAAAAACACAAAAAGCGCCAAAAAAATTATGTAAAATGTTTTATGTGTTATTATTAAACATAATAACAACACTATTTCAAACATAGTTTTAGGACTTAAGTCTGCCCACCTCTGTTGTTGCTAACAACATGTTAACTGTCAATAATAAAGGTCGTGTTTTTTTTAAATTAACATTTCAAAAAACGTTAAAACCCTCGAATAAAAATATATTCGAATATTCGTTTATTTGAATAACGAATATTCGTGCGAATAAAGTATTCGAATAGTCCCACCACTACTAAATAGATAAGAAAAAGATTTTACAAAATGGCCGTCACTTTTTTCTTTACATGAAACATGAAGTGACCCTTCTGCTTTCATCTATCCTGTGATTATACGTTGAGTTATTAAAATTCTACTGATGGTTTTTTATGTAACTGATGGATGTTGTTCAAGTGTTTAGCACAAAGGTACAAGCGTTATAACTTATAAGGTATTTTAAATACCTAGTTTAATTCCAGTCAGTCCCCGCTGTCTACACTACACAAGCCAAGCTTGCTACGGTGACCTTAAAATTTTAAATACTAAAAAAATGATGTTCATATAAATCCATAATTCATAAGTACAAGTGCATAATTGTGTTCATAGAAATGGGTAATATTTAGATATTAAAAAAATAATAACGTATATATAAACCACTTTATTTTTAAAAAACAAGCGGACTGCTCACCCCGTGAATTGCCTTGCGACACAGTTTAATTTATAAGTACTTAAAATAATTACAAAAATTGTCTTACTTAAATACAGTAAACTAGTAAATACATATTTTACATACAAAAATTGTTCAATCAGAAGATATTTTTGATTTTATGTTATAATTTCTAAATTTTATTTATATCTGAACTGTAATTTAATTTTCAGCAATGAATTTAAAAAGCCAAATCTGGTTGAATCTTTCAAAAAGTTATAAATATTACAGTTAACTTAATTTATTAGTCGCTTTAAAAACACAACCTTGTTCTGCCAAACTATTCATGATGGTAATTATATTTTCACAGTCATCTAAAGAACAAAATTAACAGTAATAATTCAATTATTAAAAATGGTAAGATAAGTACAATAACATAGTAGTTTTACTTTTAATTATTTAAAAGTAATAATATTTTCATTAAACAGTTTTAAAAAATTGTCTCATTTTTAAGAAATGTATTTTTGTAAGATACGCTCTTTTATTATATTTCATTTAATTTTAGCTACCTACATAATAACTTGCAAATGCACGTGAAAAAGGTGTTAAGTCAATGTTTCAGAACTTTTCAGAAGAGCAAAAATAAACTTTTAACTGAAAATGCAAGAATTTTAGGCTTATAAGATTCTGTATTTGTTTTTCTGTATAGTCTAACATAATTTTTATATTTTACGTGACACTGTATGTGACCTAACGAAAAAAGAAAAAATCATGACTTATCCACATTGAAATAACACATTCTATATTGAAAAAAAATACCCTTAATATATATATATATATATATAGATTTTTTTCTGCTTTTTTTGGTGTCGATAACTAATTTTTTTACAATTTAGTGACTTAGACCTTTTATACACGCACCTGCGAAGTGTTAAACATAATATTATATCCACTTATTATTAATAATTACTATAAAATATAATTACCAATTCCACTATGTAGTGAGCCAATATGTTTTAAATTTAATGTAGTCATCATATTTCGTACACCATATGGATATTTACCAATAGTCTGTGCAAATAACTGAAATAAATTTAATTAAATGAATGTCATATCACTGGAAACATAGTTTTTAAAAATCTAACAATTTTTATGCAATAAATGTATTTAATACAAGTACATAAAGTTGGCCCTATTTTAGAGGGCCTAATTCATAGAGTCCCCCGAGTAACGGATCAACTATAAATTAGTGTTAATATTTTATAAATTAAAAATCAATATTTGTAAATACTTTTTCAGAAATTGTAGATCATTTATTCTATATTTTACCAAAATACTTTTTTTTGGAAAGAGGGAGGCGAGACAAAATTTGCACAAGCCTCCAAGTTAAACAAGTCGACTCCAAACTTAATGGTTATAACAATTTATTTGGCATAGGCCAGGTTATGGTCAATCACAGTTTTTTACGATTTTTAAAAATAAATTAAAGATATTAAAATGTAAAAGTATGTTAAAAAATTTTTTTTTACAGCTCAGTAATTCTTGAAGGTCGTTATTGCTATCACTAATATCACATCATAATTCATCTTTTTAAGATTTTTAAATATTAATTAAAGATGTTGAAATGACTTACTAATTTTATTTACCTTTAAATTAGGTATTAACCACAATAATAAAATATTGGTTACTTTAATAATATGTATACTAAAAACAGTCTAAAATACTTTAGGCATCGATATCTTCAGTAAGTTATATAATCTATAAAATATATATTTTTAAAAAGCCGAAATGATAAATACAATATTATTTTTAATTAGCAATTATCTATTATCCATCCTCAAATATTTATAGTTTTTCATTAAATGTTTTATTTCATCCTTGAAAATTGGATATACATAATCTAAACCAAAAATGTAGGTATAAATTGCCAGAAAATGAATAAATCATTTTAGCATCCTTAACTAATACTTAAAAATCATAAAAAAAATACGTATGATGGCGAATAAGTTGTTCAAAAATTATTCAAGCTTAAGGTCAATCTATTTAAAATGTTTCCCCCTTCCCCCACACAAAAGAAATTAATTGGTAAAATATACAGAATAAATTATTTACATTTAAAAATTGTAAAACCAATTTACAATAATTTACTATTAATTTATAATTTATAAACACTAATTTGGAATCGACTAGATAAGGTAAGGTATAAATTTAATTTATATATTGTATTAAATATAATATGCTTTAGTTTTTATTTTTAATTTCTTTACTTTTTTTATATTTATCCATGTACGCATAAAACTTGGAATTTGAATGGCAGATAATTCACATTGTTCAATTAAGATACGACCTAAATCCCAATTACCAGAAGTCACTATAATACAATTTTCTTGGCCATAATTTGATTGATGTTCATACCATTGGCAAAATTGATTTAACACTTTGTCGAAATGTTCACTATCATTGATTATACTCTAAAATAAATCAGGAATAATAGTTAAGTTAATAATCACTAAATAATTTAAATTAATATACAATATAATACGCATTAGTGTTATAGAAACACAGTAAATGTATTTTTATTTATTTATTATTATGTAATACAGGACAATCCCAAAAAACTTAATAATATAGCGATAACAATTATATAAAACAATAAATTTAACAATAGCTCATCATAAAACTAGGGGTCTAAGAAGGGTCTAAGTTAGCAATAATTACAAGATGGTGGACAGGTGAATTGCGCAGATAATTTGTATTGAAGATAGATATTAAGAATGGGACATAAGAACTTGTGAAACATATAAGAAATTAAAAATGTATATAATATGATATCAAGTCAAAGTAGTCAAGTTTGCCGAAAGAAGATAAGAGAAGAAGGTAAGATTTGCGTTGTGCTAGGCATACTATCTAATTGTAAGCTTCTAAGGGTGGATGCTAGTTAAACATAGAAATATTCATCTGATGGCCAAGGGCATTTTTGTATGTGTTTATTTTGTTATAAGAACCGATAAATAGTTAACTGACAATTACTAGATAGCTCTATACTGAATAGCTAGAAAAATTTAAATAGCAATAGACTACCTCCCACAGGTCCAATGGCATATATTGAAATGCAAAATAAATATTATGTTTTATAAAAAATAATAAATATATATTTTATTAACATTTAACTTGAATAAACTACATTACTTGGTTAATTCCTGTAAGCTGTGTACAGAATTCAGTTAGTTCTTTGTGAACAACTGGCTTAACATACTTGTGAAAATATGAAAGTCTTTCAAAATGTTCACCTGAATATTTTATAGCAATACATGGAAACTCTATAATTTCCTAATTATAAAAAACATAATATAAATTATTAGTTAACATCGCTTACAATCTCTACTTAATCTCTTTACTAACCTGAGGTTTTAAAAAATTTGGTCCATTGTCACAAGTGGCTTCAAAGTCTAATACTAAATACTTTGTATGATGTAAAATAGGATCAATTTTATTTTTATTAAAATGATTCGGATTATTTATAGACCGTACAAATAATGTTCTGCTACACGTTAAGTAATAACCAAAATAGTATGGTAATCGAACTAAACAATTATTGCCAAGTAATGGACACATGTCATTAAATACATAAGCTAAGCTAAGAGCCTATAACACAGATAAATGAAAATAGGTATAGCCTGTGTATTTATTATCAGTTATCTGTTATCTCAAATTTGATAACATACTAGGTAAAAATGTACGTTTAGTTGCCTATGCTTTAATTTTGATTTTATTAATTGTATATTATATTATTTTAAGGGGTGAAAACAACTAATTCTAATTCTAATTGTATATTTTGTTTTGGGTGTATATTTTATATTGGGTGTATAATTTATATCGGGTGTACATTTTATATCGGGTGTATATTTTATATTGGGTGTATATTTTATATCGGGTATATATTTTATATCGGGTGTATATTTTATATTGGGTGTATATTTGAAATCGGGTATATATTTTAAATCGGGTGTATATTTTATTTTGGGTGTATATTTGAAATCAGGTATATATTTTAAATCAAGTGTATATTTTATTTTTGGTGTATATTTTAAATTTGTGTAAATTTTAAATTAAGTGTATATTTTATATTTCGGATATTTCTCCAGAACCGATCCCCTGTCGAGCCACACCGATTAATAATTAACCATTAGGACCCACAACCCGCCCAAGAGGCCGACCTTCGTTGTTGATTCGGGCTAGACAAGCCGTGGGCCGTGGGATGGATAACATAAGAAGAAGATATTGTTGCTTTTGAGCAGGAATCTTATTAAAAGGTAATATATAAATTATTATGAATAATATTATAAAATTGGTGTTAAACGAGCGTCCTGGACCAGAATGTCACAAATTACTTTTTTGTGTAATTATTACTGTATACGTATATTTTGCTTCCTCTCAACTAGCTGGTTTCTCTTTTTCCTCGTCCTTATACGGATTGATATTTATACACTGCGTTTTTTTTTAAATATTTAACCCCGATGCATAGCTCAGAAGGTATTGTTTTTACAATGATGTGTTTTTATTTTTATGTTTTAGTTTGGAAATCGTGCCTGGAAGGAACTTTATTAGGACTAAAAATTAACAATTTCACTCCCTCCCTTATAAATTCGAGAAAAAAACAAAAAATGTACATATTTTCTTACTTACCATTCGAGTAATAGTAGTGTTATATTGAACCATTTTTTTAATCATTTTTTTTTGTGATTTTCAATTGCAGTATCTTAATGAAACCACCATTGAAATAATTTGAAAAACTTAATTAATGTGTGATTTAAAGGGTTAAATTAAAAATGAGTCGATTTAGTTCTAAATTTGACAACGTTCTAAAAAGCAATGCAATCGGCCGGCAAAGAGTCAGTCGACATGTCTTCTACTGTTGTTATAATTAGCGGCTGGTTTTTTATCAATCCATCGGACAAAATGTTTTAATCTAATCTAAGTATGTGGTTTTTTCCAGATCCGAGCAAAACCCAAATTTGATTTCAACGTGATGGACAATCAAGAAAGACAGTGACGCAGTAGCATCGCTACTCCAGCTGTTGGTGCATTTAAGCCACCGTTGGATGGCTACTATACGTTCTCCGGTCTACCTTTCCTATCCGTCCGTGACAATATCATACCAACTTTTCTTATGACTTTTATCTTATTTATCATTTTCCAAGTTCACAAGTTCACATGATGCACGAGTTCACATAATATAGCTGACTTAAGCAGCGACACACGTCTTTTGTATTTTGCTAAATTGTTTTGTATTATTTTTTATTTCATCATTATTTTTATTGCAATTTTTTCGGTATTAATGTTTTTGATATTTTTTTATTATTGTGTTACTACTTTTACTGTTGTACTATTTATTGTTGTAATATTTTGTTTATCTAATTACCTTACTTATATCCTTGTTAGTGTTAATAAGTTAGAATAGTTTTTTTTTAATTCATTCGCTCACTACATTTTGCAAGTGTATCAACTATTTTTTGTTTTTATATTATACTTTTTTGTGTTAATATTTTACACAATACGGATTTTATGTTTTTTCATGTGTGGTAATTAATTGTCAAAGTTTATTATTTATACGGTTTTAGTTGTACAGATTTTTTTTAATGTTTAAGGTGATTTTATTTTTATTAAAATATTGTCATGTATACTGCGCTTACGTTGCAAAAGATGACATTCATTACATGTATAGAAAAGTGACGCTAGTCAAAAAGTAGACAAATATAATAAAATATAATTCACCATGGTGGTAACTCAAAAAAAAGTTTTTGACTTGTGTCACATTAGAAACACGTGTGAGATATTGTAAAAAAAAAATTATTTAAGTCTGAATTTGTTGTTGTTTTATTCGGTTAACAAATCAAAAATAGTACAATAGATAATGTAGTAGTTGTTATTAGACACTACAAAAAGGTCAATAGATTATCAGCATCAAAATGATTCATAGCAATTATTATTCAATTCATTATACACATATATTACGCACACTTTTTTCCTATAGTTTTTGTGACGATTAGGTACAAATTGCTCACATCTTATAATTACAGCAGTGGCTGATGTACAGACAACGATGCATAAAGTCGCGCATTCGTAGTCATGAATTTATATTTTTCAATATGTATACTTTACCAATTACAATTTACAACGAGCACATTTTTTCCAGACGCTTTGTTATCTGTGGTAAAATATAAATATATTTAATTTAACAAATACAATTTTCATGTATATTTTTTTCCAGCCAAAAATTATAAAACGCCATAACTATAACTGCGAAACTCATATTGTTAAAACGGAAGACGGTTATTTACTAGAGATTCATAGAATACAAAAGAAACAAAATATCGTTAGAAATCATCCAGTGTTCTTGCAGCATGGGATATTAGCAAGCTCTGCTGACTGGGTCATTGGTGGACCAAAAAATGCTCTAGGTATGTTTTTACCGAGTACCTAATTATAACTGTATGCAAATAAAAACAGTACAAGTAAACTGTTTAATTGGTACTCTCAATTGTTGTTACAATTGTTAAAAATACAATATACATACCAAGAGTATATTACCATACAAATATACTGCAGTAGACACCTTTCTTTATTTTTCAGCCTATCAACTTTCAGATCAAGGTTTTGATGTATGGTTAGGCAATTTAAGAGGTAACACGTATTCTCGGTCTCACATTAGTTTAGATCCGGAAAGTCAAGAATTTTGGGATTTCAGGTAAACAATAAATATCACTTAGCATTTTAAAGTATCTGCCATCTGGACATCCCCCCATTCCGTTTATATATTTTTTTCTAAATGTTTTATCCTTCTGAAGAAAATTCCATTTAATGAGCATCCAGTATTCTTGCTACTACACGACATAGGTATTATTTTTTAATGAGATACTAGTTCTATTTTAAATACTTTACAATACACACTCGGCCGTGTCCCACCACCAACGGTGAGTTAGTCGTTTTGCTGCAGAGCATCAGTCGTGTCTTATGAAGTATCTAAGTTTTTCAGAGCACCTATGTATGTTTCAGAGTATCTTTAAAGTTATTTGTAAACTGTGTATATAACCATTTTGTTTTAAATTGTTTATTTGTGTTAATTCATAATACAGATTTAGTCGTGTGACAGCAGAGCATCCGTTTTGTCTTATTAACTACCTATGTGTTTTCAGAGTATCTAATAAGTTATTTGTAAATTGTGTACATTAACTATTCTTTTTGTTTAAAATTGTTTATTTGTGTTGTTTTATAATACAAATCAGAAAATCCGTCAAAAGTTTGCGTTAAAATTACTGACTTAAACCTAAATCTCTTCCTCAAACCGTGGCTCACGTTACAACATACTCTAGCCCGAACAAAGAAATATAAAAATAATATAGCTGTACTTACTTACTTTCAATTTGTGTATGTTCATTAAAACCTATGCAGTTTTCACGAGATTGGCTATTATGACGTGCCTGCTACGATTGATTACATACTAGAACAAACAAACAAGGAGCAATTGATCTACGTGGGACATTCGATGGGTACCTGCATATTTTTTGTGATGTGCTCCACGCGACCGGAATACAATGACAAAATAAGAACTCAAATCAGTTTGGCTCCAATTGCGTTTGTCAATAATATGAAGTCCGTATTACTCAATTCGTTAGTGCCTTATGCAGATAAAATTAACGTACGCACACTCTAATATTATTTTTGAACCCAGAAAATGACCATGATCAAATTTAGTTGTTGTTATTTATTATTTGATTTTTATATAGAAAATTGCAAATTTGTTTACCAATGGCGCGTTCTTACCACAAAACGCTGCCAGTAAGTTAGTTAGTAAGTATTTATGCGGCGAAAATATGGCTAATGCAACATTATGCAAAAAGTTTATCGTGTACGAAATATTCGGAGAAGATCCTGTAGAATTTAACGCGGTAAGTCAGTAAAATGAATTCTTAACGCTGCACATAAGAAGTTTTCAATTGTTACATGTTTACTGATTTCTAGGAACTGTTACCAATTATTCTGGCTCATAATCCAGCTGGAACATCAACAAAAACTCTAACCCATTTTGCACAAGAGTTCATATCAGGTATGTAAACAATACTAATACAAATATTTTTTATTTTTAATATAATTTGTACATTATTTGTATTTCACAAGGAAACTTCCAGCAGTATGATTATGGATCCGAAGGCAATATTAAAAAATATAACTGTGTAGAACCTCCATTGTATAGTTTAAGTAGTGTGATTGCACCGGTACTCTTTTACCATGCAACAAATGATTTACTATCAGACCCTAAGGTAATTGACGATATTTTTTGAAATATATAAAAAAATAAAACAAATGACTATAATTCACATTACTTATTAGTTATTACTTTACCGTCAAACTTGGAACTACCGTTAGATACACGTGTGTCATTATCAGTGCTTTTTCTCGAGTTTTAACTGGTAGTCTGTCCGATGTTTAAGATCTGCTTAACTAGCTAAAGCTTAAATATTTTTTAGGATAAGATTAATAAGCTTAGTTGGACACGAATATCATTTGATTAATTAAAAAATAAATACAATTTTTTTTTTAATCTTGATTATGTCTGAAAAATGTCTTATAAATTATTATAATACAATTAATTAATTTAATACCTAATAATATGTAACATATTAAAGTACCAATCTACATTATTACACTAATGACCTAACAATACGTTTAGGAATATTATAGTATAATTAACTAACGATCACAAATGTGTTGTTTAGGATGTTATGGAACTTTACACTCGTTTGCCGAATCGTTTGGGAAAACATCTTATCAACTATGAAAGGTTTAACCACGTTGATTTTTTATACAGTCGCAACGTTACCAGACTACTATATCGAAGCGTTTTAAGTTCAATAAAACATATTGATAGCTCGTTTTGGATCCCATACTTCGACAGAAAAACTTTTTTCAACAACACCATAGATTACAATAGATGCGAAAAAAAGTATAAAAACGAACAAAGTTTATGGTATAAACTCATGTCGTATGTAAGAAAAACACCAGAATTACATCCAATAATCAGCCCAGATGATAACGAACTAGGAAACAAACCTAACGAGACGATGTTGAATGCATGGGATCATATATTCAATGAATAATATGGATAACTCATAATAAACATGTGTGTTATAGACTATAGTGTACGTTATTAACGACTTTTTCGGAAACGTTTCCTCTAATTAATTTATTCTAAATGGGGAAAAAAATCCACTTCATCTCAATTTTAACCCGTGCCACTGTTGGTTTTGTGTATTCGGTTTAAGTATCTTTTTCTTTTGCCATTTTCCGGAGGCGTCTAAAAGTCTTAGAAATCTATGTTCAATATTAATTGATTAAGCATCATAAGCTTTAAATACAGTACAAACAATATGCGTTGCTCAAAATATTTAAAAAAAAACAAAAATAACTCACACTCCAAATTAGGTATATAAATGATAAAAATAAATAAAACAATCCATATTGAAATATAAATTTATTAATGTCGTTTATTACAAAAAAAAAAGTAATTTGCGATATATGTACAACTTAAAATTATTATTTTCACACTTCCTGTGAAGTGTGGAAAAAAGAAGGTCTTATGTATTCTTTAGCATGACATCAATACCTTGATCTTGATCTATAAATAATATAAATACATTATGAAATACAATTTTTAAGTGAAGAACTGTACAATAAAACCTAATGATTTTCCAATTGAGCTTTTTAATTTACATGCTTTTTTGTTAACGACAATGTCTAAAACTAGACCAAAACTGACAAAGTCGAGAAATTTGATAGTTCATACCGGTATGATAACGATTCACTTTTTAGATACTAATTAATTTATACTCATTTAATCATAGCGTCAGCATTGGTATAACTAACCATAATATCGGAAATATAGTCAAATTTCTTGATTGGTATGAAAAAAAGCACTTTTTTTTAATTATTAAGCTGTTGTCAAAGTCTACAGAACATTTTAACTTTTTAACTTTTGAATGGATTAATTCTAAATTTTTCTTTTTTGATCATAGTTTTTGAATTTAATGTCTGAAAATAGTTTTCAGGCATTAAATTCTGATGAATTATTAGACTGAAGATATATGAAGGGCTGCGGTGAAGAAAGATCAATGTCAATTTTTTTTGAAAATGAGATTTTGGTATCAAATTATTTGTATTGTATCTTTCATGCGCTCGAACCAGGGAAAAAAACAAATTAGTCGAGAATAACGACCACCAGTAGTTTAGGCATACAGGCAAAATGTGTTACGTTTTGAAATTAGAAACATGATTTTCTCAGAATGTTAAAAAATTGACATTCATCTTTATTTCCCCGCAGCCCTTCATATGTAATGTAAACTTAAGAGCACAAAATTATTTTTCATAGGAATATGAACAAAAAAATGGTTATTCTTAATTAAATTTTTTCTAAGTTTGTAAATTACTTATCTAAAAAACAAATTGTTGTTGCGTTGTTTTTTTTTTTGTATTTTAAGTTACAAATGTATACTGTTATAGGTACTCTTAGAATACATCTAATTTATGGCTGTTAGTGCATTTTTTTCACAATGAATACAATTTGTTTAGTTTTTGTGCTGTATCCTAAAAAATACTGTGTTTCAAAATGTGCAAAAACAAATATTGATTCTTTTTGTGCTTAAGAGAGGTCACAAATTGTCACTTATAATTATAACTGAAAGGAACAACATTTCTGATCAATAGAAGTGCTACAAAAAGAAATTGGTTCAATGGTTTAAAAGATATTGAGTCAGGCTTCCAAAAAAAAAAAATAATAATTGGAGACTACTAAACAAGACAAAAGTATTTATTTTGATTTATACCTACAACTCAATTTTTTCAATTTTACATAGTATTACTAATAATAAAATAATACATTTATTTAATTAATTTGTAATATACTATAGTAAGTTTACCTTTGATCATCTCGTTCTCTTTTTCTACTACTTCCATATTTTGGACTTCTAGAATGGCTAAAAAAAAAATTATATTCATGAGAAAATTACTTTAAAAAATTAAAGACATTAAATTTGCCCAGTATTTAAAAATAGAGACACCTTTGACACAAAAAACTACAGGTATCTCTTTGGTAGATACATGCTACAAAATACTATAAACGCTCTTCTTGGAAAGGAGAACACCTTACACAGAGGCAATTATAGGAAGATACCAATTCTGCAGTTTTAGAAAAAGAATATCTACAATTTATCATATCTTTACCTTAACACAAACAATGCAATGCATTATGTATACAGTAAGGATATGTACATGGTATTTGTTGACTATAATCAAGCTTATTATAGTGTAAATAGATGGAAATTATATAAGGCTCTGATAGAATATAGAATATCATAAAAATATGTAAATTTAGTAAAAATGTGTGACGAATGAAGAACAATTTTTAAAGTACGCTTCCTACAGAGTATGTCATCAGCTTTTGAAATCAACTTTTGTGTCAAATGTATCAAAAGATAACAAAAACATTACTTTTATCCAAAGAAATGAATTACCTTCTTCTATAGTCATCCCTCCGACTAGCATAAGGCGACCTAAAATTAAATTAAAAAACAAAAGTACAATAATATTTTGCAAGTATTCACAAATAAAAACCCATAAGTATTATATCTATTTAAAAAATACCTTTCTCTCGAACTTTTATAGCTAGACTTCCGTTCATAATCTCTGTCACGATAGTCTCTATGTGATCTATCTCTACGGTCATTTCGATCAACCTTATCCCGAGACCTTGCTTTATCAGAGTAATCTCTACTTCTATAATCATCCTTGTCTCGACTAAAATCCTTGTCTCGGCTGAAATCCTTGTCTCGGCTAAAACAAAATAAGAATTTTTAGAGTTGAATGGTTATTTAATTATAACAACCTATTTAAAAGGTGATTAAGTAGTGGTTCATCAACCATCACCTTCAGATCTTAAATTTTACAGAGTTGAACTTGAAGTATCTAAGCATAGATTGCTATTCCCCTAAAATAAAGTATTCTCAGTCAAAATTGGATTTAACTTCAAATATAAATTAGTATTTATTATATTATACCTGAGTTAGGGGAAATTAGGGTAGATGTAATCAGTATAATACTGTTGTGTTCAAATAGATGGAAAAAACGAATGTATAGTGTTTATAATATATTGTTTAAACATACAAATGATTGCAGATTTATAAGCAGAAGGAAAACCTATAAAAGCATAGATGGTTGAGTCTGATGGTAAAATAGAAACATATGAAAATACTATATATTTGTAGGTATAGAAACCTGGATGGAGAACATAGGATTGAATGGAAAAATTTAGTAGAATTAATATAGAAGATAATATATGTTAAAGCCCCAAGTCTATAAAAAAAAAACAAAATTACAAGGCCTACCTGTAACTTCTTTCAGGTACATTCCTTCTAGGTGCTTCTTCTGCAACATGAGGATATCTCTCATTCATTCTTTTTTCTATTTGTTGCTAAAATTAAATAGATACATAAATACAATATTTTAAAATAAACACAATCTTTTTTTCCTGACCTACCTACCTGAATAGGCACAGGTATTCGGGGAAACAATGTTGAAAACCATTCTAATTTAACTAAAAAACTTTTCAATACATTTCCAATTGTCATCATTTGTCCGCCTCCTGCTCTAACATCCACCTCCTAACATTTAAAAGTTAAAACACATTTAATTTTTTTTTTACATGTTAATATTATAAATGCTAATCAATGTACTTCAAAGACAAAGGCTGTCAAAAATCACTTCAATAGATGAATAGGTCCAATTAAAATTTTACTTTTCATATTTTACAAAAGAAAAAAATTACCTCTTCATCATCTAAAAAAGATTCATACCAATCCCAGAGATCGCCAGGAGGTTGAGTATATCTGGAAAAAAAAATTACAACAATTTATAGTATTATATAACTACTAATACTATTATTAACAGTTTATATTTAATTAAAAAATAATTCACGAAAAGACATTTTTCGTTATTGTAATAAATTTTGTCATCCTCCAAAGTACTTTGGGTTAGTTTCTCTGAAAACTTACCTGATGTACATAAAACCCAAACCGCGTATATAAGGTGAATCGCAATGGGTAATTAGCCCAGTTACCTGCTTGCGAGTTAATTTCAAAGTGTACAGTTTGTATAGAAGACAAAATGCTGTAGATACTATTCCACCTGCCCCAACGCCACGAACCTAAAAAAAAATTTTTATTAATCATTTTTTAACCTTTTTGTTCCTGGGATTTTTTTTTTTGAAAAAAAAATCAACAATTTTTTTAGGTATCGGACTGATATTAATTATCAATACAGCTGTATCGATTTTTTTATCATCAATCTATACTAGAACTTGTGTTTAAAGAACATTTTTGATAGTACGTTGTTAATATTTAATTCAATTTTTAAAGTTAATCGAGATGTTCGAGGATGTCAGTAACAAAAGGGTTAATGCAATTTAATAATTACATAGCTAACGGATTTCATACTTACACCACCACACATGCCAGTTTGTCCAGCAGTTTTGCGACTTCCCTTTTCCCATGGCTCCAGATGTTGTACTTTATAATAAATTTCGTCAATTACTTCATGGTAAGTTTTTAGTTCATATAAATTAACTGAAAAATTAAAATATGACTTAAATTCCAAATAAATTTAAAGAATTTTTATTGAAACATGAATCAAAATTAAATAGTAACACCCTTATGAATTTAACCTTAAAAAATAATAATAAATACCTTTAAAATAATGAGATGATTGAATGTTGGTTAGTATAAGGGTATTTAAATTCATAGTACGTTCATTGCCCCAAACAGGTAAAGTATTATTTTTCCTAGTTAAAATACTTCCTTTGGCCTTTGTTTGATAATCATTGTCATATCCTAAATAAAAAAAAAGTTAAACATAGTATTAATTGTTTTAAAGTAGAGTATGTTACTATTACGTTGTAACTAAAAAACACAGGTAGATAACGAAGACAAAGTTAAAAGTTGTCAATTAATAACAAATTTTAATTTTCGTATGTGCTCGAATTTACTAATCTTTTGTAAAACAGAATTAATTCAATTTATACATATTGAATTATAATTATCGATCACCAGAAACCTAACGTAGAAATTTAGAAACGGTAGTGTTTTCTAAACAAAGTAGTATACGAGATAAATTCTGTTTTTCCAAATAAATCTAATCAGAAAAAAGTAGTATAAACAGATCAAGTCAAGCAATATCTATGTTTTAGTAGAATGAAAATTGAATTAAAAAATATCTCAAATTGTACACTTCCCTCACTTGTTCAATATATTGCACTTTTGGCATACACCTATTAGCTTAGTTCCCCACCCCCTCTAGTACGGCTCTTATGAATTAAAAATTTAAAATACACTGAAAATATTTATACTCTATATGTTTAAACCTAAATTAAACCTAATTAATATATTTAACTAATTATATTTTGGTAGGATTTAATATAACTTGATAGCAACCTACCATAAGGATTTTGTTTATAACAAGAAAAACAGAATCTAATTTAAAAGAATATCTATAAAATATTAAGTGTCTTGTGTGAAAGTAATAATTTCATACTTATTCACAACTTTTTACCAGGTAAGATCCCCATTAAATCATAATATAATTGATACTTCATGTCCATATTTACTATTTAGAGCAGATGTTTTCAGAATTTAAATATTTTTTTGAAACACTAACTATTAAACGACTTATTTTGGTTATATTTGTGAAAGATTTAGAACAAACCATATTTCCAATACTCGAATATGGTGGGGGGAGGGTACGCGAGGGGACTAAGTACCCCCCATCTATTTTTTCCAGAAATTGTAGCATACCCTTACTAATTTTTAAAACGTGTGGTTTTCGTAAGGGGTGAAAAAAATTCCAGGTACGCTCTTTTTTTTTATAAGTAAAAAACATCCCCCTACTTTAATATTTCCAATTCGAGCACTACATATTTCTATCCCTAGACGAAATGTTAGTCTGTTTATTTTACAAATATTAATATGATTCCAGTTAAATATGTAATTATTACCTAATAGTGAACATAATAATACATTACCTTCATTCTCGTAATTGTCTCCCATTATCAGTGAACTCCGAAAATTATAATATTATTATTATAATATACAATTTTTATTTATTCAGAAAACCTAATCCATAGAACTAAATAATTATTTATGAAAAATTTAGGGAACAGAATAAAGATAAGGAGAGTCGAGAGTAGATAACGATTACTGATAGAACACTATGGAATAATTTATAAAAAGTTATTAAACTTTAGTTTTAAACGTTAGCATGGAATAAATACTATTTAGATATGAGACTCGCACAATACAGCAACTTGAAACATGATTATTAATCAAATATTATATTACAACAGTATCTGAACAACTGTTAAAGGCGCTAAACGCATTACATTTACGTCAAAAAACATAACATACATCGATACGCATGCGCCACAGACAGTGCTGTAACTTGACTAAATAAAAAAAAAATGTTATACCTACGGATTTTATAAAATATTAAATACATGTATATTATTAAACTTAGTACTTAACAACATAAAGCTTCTATTTAGAGGAATTCGGTAATAACTATTAATTAATAATTAAACTAGGCTTCTTTTAACTTATAACAGTTAACAATAATTTCTGTAAAAAAACAATTTTAAAAGTATCAAGACAATGCAGAATGCGTTTTACTAAGTCTACGGGTTTTTAGAGCAAAAACAATTAGGTAATTAAACACAATATATTACACGTACATGAAAACCACAAGAAATACTTAATTTAGAATGTGGGAGTTAAAATATCGTTCAGTGTTTGTGCATACTGGATTGAGGATAACGGGGAAAGGGTGTTAAAAATTATTAACATTTTTCACTTTCTTTTTTATTTTAAAACTTAATGGTAAACTTACAATTTAAGCCTTTAGGTTTTCTACTCACGTCATAAGTATAATTACTAGTCATTATTACCTATTTCATAGTTTTTACTTACAAATATGTTACCTAGTACAAATAACATACTCTTTTTTGTTAAACAATGTACTTGAATGTATCAGAACTAAAGAAATATATGTATTTACAAACGACCCGTTGATTAACTTTGCAAGTACGAAGAAATTATTTAGATGCTTTCATAATCATATCAAACAAGTACAGTGAGCTAACAAAATATTTAATATTGTACATTGTATTAATTATAGACAATTTATATTGAACCGTTTATCTGTCTCTTTATAGTGACACAGTTTACCATGTCAGTCAAAAGTAACTATACATTTTTGGAACCAAGTTTCAGACGTATATAAAAATACATTTTTCAAAAAAGTTATTCTTTACCCAAATATTGGATCTGAAAGGGTATTTTGGTTCAACAGACGAAAACAGTAGGTAGACTGGATTTGTAATCACCCTAGAACCTAGCATTTGCTAATGAAGTAAAAAAAAAAATAACAATAACATCATAAGATTCTGTACTTTGTAGATTTCAGTATTCTATTTTATTTTTAGTTATACTAAGAGCACAAATCTAATAGCCAAGTGGGTTGTGTAGCAGTGTGTTAGTGCTCACGGTCACCAAGTTTGACACTTGGTTGTTTGCTTAACGGAAAAAAACAGTCTTGCAAAAACTACAAAATAAGCTGCAATTTTTCATATCTTGTATCTCAGTTAATATGTTTTGTTGGCAATCTATTTTTCCTTTTGTCTATTAGAGAGTTTCAAGCTAAATATTGCTACTTGGAACATAATGTGCACCATATTTTACCTAATTTATATAATGCTCAGCAGGTATTAAACATAATAACTAGAGTTCTATTCACTCGCGCTGCAGTTTCCTAATGCCTAGTTATCTTTTAACCTGTTTACATGTTAGGTATTAGTGACAAGTACTAATCACTGTGCAAATCAAGCATAAGTGTAAAAACCCCTATAGCACATTATATTAGCAGATCTTTGGTAAATTTAAAGGGTTCTCTAATTTTGATTAAGAAATATACTATTTTCTTAATAGCAGTTACTAAATAAAATATTGAAAAAACAGCCAACAATTTAATAGCAGGTTAAAACTTTAAAGTTACACTAATCTTTTAAGGACATACTTGCATTATTGTTTTTTTAAAATAATTTATAGATGTTCTCCTCTCTTAACCAATAATCTTGTCGGCAGCTTTTGACTTAACTATTATAATCTACTAATCTTGGTTTTTAAAAATGTATTTCTAGTCAAAATACAAAATTAATAAAGAAAAACTCTTAAGTAAAAACGGTTTGGATCCCAGTTGAGCATATGAGGTTTTTTTATATTAAATTGGCCACTGGCTTTGTGTTGGACGGATATTAAGTCAACATTTATAATTATTGGAAATAAGATGGTTTTCAGTACATAATAATTCAAAAATATTTAGGTTTTTGATGTTTTATTAAGAAAAATGTCATAATTAACATAATCCTTATTGTTTCTGTGCCAATTCCTTTTCCTTAGCTTTTTCAATTTTGGCGAGACGGCACGCAGACTTGGCACCCAAAACACCACCACCCCAATGACGTTTAAATTCATCAAACCGTTCATTAAAGTTGTTCTTAATTGATTCAACCAATTTTGCTAGAGTAGCACGATCTCCACTGTCAACCTATAAATACAGTTTTTAGTTAGAACAATGTGTTATTATTAAATAAATAAAATCAATATTATTAAAATATTATATTATTATTTACTTGTGTAATAGCTAAGGCTGTGCAATTCTTACGACGTACAAGGTTTCCTAACCTCCACTTTCCTTTGATAATGCAGTATGGTACACCCATTTTACGGCACAATGCAGGTAAATATATCACCAACTAAATTAAAAAAACGTTATTATATAAATCACTGATAATATCGGAAACTCAATAAAATACCTCCAAAGGATCAACATCATGCGCAATAACGACTAATTGCGCTTTCTTCTGCTCAACAAGGTTTACAACAGTGTTAATTCCTTGACGGATAACGCATGGACGTTTGGTTGGCTGATCTTCCTTGGTTTCCACTTTGTCCTCAGCTCTTTTCTAAAAACAACGAACAATAGTTTATTAACAATTAGGTACAAATTTATAATAACTATTAAATCATTCTTCAAAATAGAATTTTACGATAAATTTGAACTACTTAAAAATGGCAAAACGTGTTTTACCTGCAATCGCCTCTTTTTCATAGCTGCAGTTTCAGGTCTGTATTTTTCCATGAGCTTGAAAAGCTGTGTCACTTTAATTTAAATAATCCATTTATACTACAGTTAGTTATTTGATATATTTTTACAATAAAAATACCTGTTGCTTTGTCAGCAGCAAAAGAAAACTGGTTGATTGGTGGGGGAATTTTGAGCCTTCTCTGAAGGACAGCCTTTTGACGTTGAATACGAATATAATTGGGCCATCTTACAAAACGACTCAAATCTCGCTTTGGTTGAATGTCTTGGCCTGAAATATTAAATATTGTATCAATAAAATGTTAAAAAAATACCTACAATAAATATTCTTAAGCTAGGCTACACAAAATATCATAATTAAAAACTATAGATCAATCAATGTGTTTAGATACCATAATATATCTAAAAATGTGTTCAACATTTTAGAAGGGTATAATTCCAAGCCAGGTTTATGAAATAATTTAATTTTGTTTTCAAATTTAAAACTCGTGTAGACTTAATTGCTCAGGGTTAAAAAGCTCGTGAAATATTCTCATACAATGTTTCAAAATTCATTAGGTATATCATCATAGCAATAAAAGGATCTTGACAATTTAAATTTTTGATGCAGCAACTAGAAGTAAGTATAAGCAAAGTCCATACATATATTGTTTTATTATAAATAACTAGACTAAAGTAAAAAAAAACACACACAGCTTAACATAAAATATACTCAACCACATCTAGATATCAAACATAAAATAAGGTAATGGCTAGAAGTAAATAAGATTTCTACTTAAGTAATGCTCAGAGTTAAAAAGCTCAAAAAATATATTTCATAATATCATTCAACTAAATATCACTCATCATTGCATATGTGAAATTTTTAATAATAATATCAGTCCTTTGAAATTGGCTGTCGCCTATAACACTGCTTACATCCTGCTATCACATATACTATATCGAGACTTAAATAAGAAGATAGCTCATACGGGACATCAATATTGTACAGGTTTTGCTGTGGTCAATGGGTAAATACAACTACTTGACAATTTTTAATAAGAAAAGTAGTTGAAACAAAATTGAAATTTCGAAATGGTGCAAGGCTTGAATAGCCTGCCTGAATGATCAATGATTTGTACACATAAAAATGTTGTTACCTAGTTCAAACAATTAATTGTCAGAGTTAAAAAGCTCTAGTATGTAAAATTCTATCACTATTTGTCAACATGAATTAAGGAACACTCATCATACAATTTTTTCAATAGATATAGCTCAGATTGTCAATTTCAACATGACTTTTAATGTTCTTAACAAACTAAATTCTGTTGAAGAAATTCAAGCATCATAGCAAATAATTAAAATATATTGTCAACATAACTACTGTAACATAACAACATAATACTTGGTATTATATCAAATTTAGGTAGTTTCACATTTCAGCATTTAGTGAATATTTTATGTTCTACACCAAAATTTTACATTTAATGTAAAATTGCATATATCTATTTGATAAAGTTGCTCGTTTTCTTAAAAATATAAGATTAAGAATTAAAAAAGCATATTGAAATATTGAATTTTTCGCTCAGAATGTCATTGTCAACATTATTATATATCTTGTTTTAAGAACATATTCAGGTGAAGAAATTCAAAAGCATCATTGCGATTAGAATATATATATATATAACATTAAATACAGAACTAATAAACAGTCAAACCAGAATATAGAATAACAAAAAAAAAACACTACTCACCAATTCCAAAATTCCTCGGTCTTTTTTCAAATAGCGGATTTACAACTTTCTGTTTGACTACTTTCTTAGGCTTTTCAGCAACCAATGGAGCCGGGGCGATTTTAGCTTTCTTGCCAACTTTTTTATTAGAACCTGGCTGTAAAATATAATTACAGTAATTTACATTTCTACGTAATATATATCTCCACGCAAATCTATTTCATTATATTTGTATAAGAGAATACAGAAATTAAAAATGTAATATAAAAGAAATGTATCGAATGAAACCTAGTTTAACATATAACAGATTGGAACACTGGAATCTACATTTGTTTAATTAAGTAAAATATTTAACGTATCTATTAAAGATTTCGGTACACATAATTTAACCAATTTTGAAAAATTGAAAGAAAATAATTTAAACAAATAATGAAATAATTAATTTAGAACGGTGTCTTACCTTTTTGGGAGCCATGGTGTAAAAAAACTAAACGATTAATTAGATAAACGAGGATGTAAATGCGAATAGTCGCTAGAAACGAACGATTTACAATTAAAATGGGCAACGGCGAAGTCACAAACGGCAAGGAAATGAAAGAGTGAAATAAGGTTATGTTGACACGATTAAGATCATAATACTAATAGCATGGATGAAATACTAAAACATATATATCAGTCATGGAAGAAACTACCAAATATCTGTGCTATCAAAATAGTATGATTATATGATAAGCATTAAGCACAAATATAGATAAAAATTTATTTACGAACTACGAAGTCAAACAACTTGAAAGTCGAAATAATATTCAAATTTTCAATTATTTGGTTTTAATTGATTTAAAATCATTAGTATTTAGCAATGTCTACATCCATGAATGTTACTAAATCGTATACGAATCGGCTGAAAAGTGATGTCAAGTGTATGCTAGAAAATTTTGAAGGTGAGGAATTTATTGTATTATTTATTTTCAAACGTCGTACGGAGCTGGGCAAAATGTACCAAAGTATCAATAAGTTTCGATTATACCAAATTAATCGATTTTTCAAATTATTTATTGATATGGTCATTGATAATATAAATCATAAAAACATCATATTACATTAAGATAGAATTGTATAAGTGCATTATCATTATGCATTTATCAAGAATATGTATCTTGCATCAATGGACATCTTTTGACTTTGCCAACTATAGTGATAGCTTGTTTTTTTTTTTTTATGTAGTTAGTTTGTTGGTTGTATTTGTGTCAATTGGAACCCACGCTGTAGAGGCGTCAGCTTCCATTAGTGGCGCTATTTCCATTAACTCCTATGGGGGAGGGGCTAAGACCCTTTAGCCCTTACATATGTCTTTAAATAAATTTAAATGTGACATCCACTTAAAGACACTTCCCCTTTTTATAGGCTAGATCAGCACCTAATTTTATATATTCTTGTCTTTTGTATAGAGTATAACTATTTTTTTTTCAAATTTTAGGTATTGTGAAACTCTGCAAAACCGAAGATGACCAAACGCAAATTTCTAAAGCTACTAGAAGTGAATTAATAGCATTTGAAATGGAAGTTCGAGCAGCAAACATTGTTCGAGCTGGAGAGTCTTTGTTAAAACTTGTTTCAGATATGAAACAATATTTAATTTTAAATGATTTCCCTTCTGTAAATGAAGCAATAGCCCAAAATTCAAAGCTCTTTCGTACAAAACAAGTAGAGTGTGATAGAAAGTTAACTAGTTTGGTTGATGATATGTCAACAGAGTTGTATGAGCTTGAAGAAGAATACTATACATCAAATCATAAATAAAAGGCAAGTTTCAAAAATTATTTATTTATAAATATATATATATATACTTTTTTATAATAGATATTCATTTTTAAGAAAATATGACTTCCCCCCAACCTTTTGCAGAACATATAAATATAAAATACAATTTATAACACATAAAAATATAAAAATAATACAATAACAAAAACCGCTGCAGCAGTAAGTTTTACATACATTGATTTTAAATTGAGATTGGTTGCTTCTTTTTTGTATTTTTTTGACAATATTGATAAATTTTGTGCTTTAGTATCGAGTTCTAAAAAAAATTGCATAATAATCAACAACTTTTATAAATTATAAATACGATAATGTTTGCCATAAATTTCTAAAAAATTGATTAAATAATTCTAAAAATAATGTATTATTACACACATGGGAGTATCAGACTCAGATAAACTTGGGACGTACAAGTGAGTATCATACGTCGATACGCAAGCTGTAATATTTGAGTAATATACATATCTCTTATAATAATTTTATTTTTTTATTACTTTGATTTTATAACATTTAAGGCGTACAAATGTCATAAATAATTTTTTTTTTTATAATTTTACAGGAATGGCTTTTGAAGTTTTAAGTGCTATGTCGTTAATTCATTCCATTTACATGGAACCTTGCAGCAAAATGTTGAGTTTTTTACTTTCAATTTATGTTCACAATGTGCAGAAGGCTATTAATTAGCTATAACTCTTATCTCAAAAAAGCACTTATCACTCCTGTGCGCAATGCTGTTGATATATTATTTACACGACTAAACATTGTGTAGAAAAATAGTGGATCATTTTTTGATTTCTACAGGTTATTATCAAAATTGTATTATATATATCAACGGCAATCTAGCTATAGGAAAATATAATTTTTAAATAGGTAAATATTAATTTAAACAATTTTAATAAATATATGTACATATTTACACATAAACTAATAACACTTATATTAGCAAATTATGTTTTTGACTAAATTAAAATATGTTATATCATATATTTTTGTACAGTATTTGTTTAAACTAAATATATTTTTAGTAAATATCATTAAACATACATAATAAGTTTAAATGTATGTGTCTATTGTGAATGATTGTAGCATTTTAATATTAGTAATGTACTTTTATGCAAGTACTACATATTATTCAAGTATTTTTAAATAATATAAAAACTTGTTTTGTTTATATCTTATGCAGAATTTATTATGCTTTACTTATCATTATTTATGTATTTACATATTATGTATGTCATATATCCAAAAACAATAAGTATAACTTATCCAACAATAGTTTATATTATTTAATATTCAATTTAACATTCAAGTGTCAAGAAATCTTAATTAACCCTTCGTTAGTAACGTGGGGTAAGAATGTATCCCATTCATACTGTGAAATGTAGCAAGGGTAGCTAGGCGACCAAGGTGTTTGCTTGAGGCTTTATAAAATAAATAAGTATTTAACCCTTTTTTTTGTTTTACTAATATTAATTAACAAGTATACATATGTTCAGTTAAGTTTTAAAAATATTTAGAGAAATATGAGAGTATTATCCAACTGTGACTGATTATAATTACTTTTGTTTAGTAATATGTAAAAAATGTTGATCATACCTGATAACACTGTTCCTCTTTGTAATACATCGTCAATATTTTGAACCATTATCCTTTGCACATCTTGAAGTTCATTATTTAATGTGTTTATATTTCTACGTACTCTGGAATCTATATAATTTTTTTTGGCTTTCTGTATATAGTTATCTGAAATAATATGAAATTATGATTTTGTATTTAAAAAACATTTTTTGGAAAACATGTTTATATATACATATACTGTCTCTAACTCAATTCTAATAGATGTATAAAATGTATATATATATAACTAGAAAATAAACTATTTTGTTATATATTTTAATACATTATTAAATACTATAATACAACTAAAAAATGAATTAAATATACTTTACATACCAAATTCTATTAATGTATAAGGACGCGTAACAGTTGACACTTGTTTGCCATATAGCTTATTGAATTCTGCAGCTATGTCTTCTAAGAAACTAAATGCAGATCGTTTAGAGAAATTTTTCTCGCATAATACCAAGTAACAAACATCTCTTTCAATTAAGTAGCTAAAATAGAAAGAAGTTAGATAAAGTATATTCTGTATTCCCAAATTATTATAAATTATTTAAATAGCTTTTGTCGAATTTACTGAAAGTAATATGGTACGGATTCAATTGTGCACTGTGGAGGAGATTGGAAATTTAACTTTTTGAAAAGAAGTTTTGCTTGATTTTGATACTCGACCAGTTTCCTTCCGACCTACATTTAACATTGTCATCCAATTGGTCATACAATAACAAATAATGTTTACATAAGTGTCGAGAACAGTCAGGAGACTAAAGAAATCATAATACACAAATACCTGTTCATCATCTTGCATAGAAGCTGCTAATGGTAAACCATCAGGTATTCTAGCTATCATAGTTAATAGAACCATTTTGACATAAATAAATCGATCGTACAAGCTGTATAATACTCTTTAATAAGTAAAGCTCCGATTTGAAATATTGTTAAAAATATATACGTGTTGACTTTTGAAAAAAAATTATTGTTATCAAAATCAAGTCGTTATCAATAGTTAACTGATATGGTCCGTTTTGACACGTATATTATAAGCACATATTATTTTACGATTTACGATAAAAAAAATTATTGTATTGTTATACCATTGATTATACTATATTACTATAATTTACAATTACTATAATATATAATCAATGGTTATACTTATGTAGCAAGTACAGATAGAATACAATGTTAAATGTTAAATTGTGTATTTAAAAAAAAAATAAAACCATGATGATTTGACAGTTTTTTGAAAATAATATTAAATTAAAATAAAGAAATAACATAAATAGCTGAATGTATACAATTAATTAATAATGATGTGTTTTTGTCGTATTAACAAATAGTCTGGTAATAGGTCTCGGGGGTACATTATAAATATAATATTGAGTCAATAAACTGTATACATCAGTTTTATTGAATTCTGGGCGCAATGTCACTAAAGTAAGTGGTGGTGTTCAATCATAGATTAGAAAAATCCCATCTACCAAGTCCCATTTAAACACAAATAATTTTGGCGATACTCGATTCATAACTACGGGTGCTAACCAAATCCAAGCTCTACCCAAATTGCGCTTTTAAAATAGTATAGTTTAAAATTTATTTTAATTAAGTTAGTGATTTAATGACAACTTAATCCAAATTCATAAATAAAGTCAAAAGTTTTGTCTAATTATTATTAGATGGAAATCTATTTTATTTTGTAGAAGAAAAATACAATTTAATGTCATTTTTTATCATACAATACGAATACGCATAGTCCATGGTGCCAAATAAAACGTAAGAATGGTTACACTGTATGATAGCTCTTGGACTTTATAACCCTATTATTATTAATTTTGCTACATTCATATTATTGCATATCAATAATTCTTTTCAGTGACGTGAACTATTCAAGTTTTCTAGATTTGTGAAAGTTGATCTTAAATAGTAAGAATATACAGATAAATACTTTAAAATTATTAACTATGTTTTTATTTTATTTAGTAAAGTCTAGTGAATAGATATATAATACGATGAGAATATTTTAACACAAATTGGTAAGAATATTTGTTTAATTTTATCTATACATCGGTATTTATGTAAATAGAATAAGGTATCAAACTTGATTTGTTTTGACACTTTAAAATAGCGCTTTGATTGTTGCAACAAATTAGATCTCTCTCTTTCTCTCTCTCACTCTTTTTTTAAAATAGTCTTTGATCAATAAAATCTGCACTCGGAATAATTTTTAATTAATTTTTGTTTCAGTATGTAAAACAAATAGTTTAACATGTCAAACAACAATTTTTGGAATAATGATTCTTATTCAAATATTCCACAGCCTGTGAGTTTTGTTTATTTACATACATTTAAAAATTTGATATATTAATTCAATTTATTCTTGTAAAATATTAGAATGAAAGTTCTCGACAAAATGATGAATGGAGTTGGGGAAATGAGTGGAGTTATGTAGACCAATCAGCCAAAAATAAATCTTTAAATACACAGCAAAACACCAACCCACAATCTATTGAAAATTTGGATACTTCACTGAACGACAGCTATAGTATTTCAGCTGCCACTAATGAATCTACCCAACCTACAGTTACCAATTGTGCTGTTAGTAACAATATTGATAATAGAATGGAAAATGGTCAGCATAATTTTGCAATGCATAGTAATAATTGGTTTGAGAAATCGGACAGCCAATCAGAATTATTTAGTAATACAAAAGCATACTCTAACATACATCCAGAAAATGATGTCAATAAGAAGTTTATTAATGTTGTTGAACATGAAGATAATTTTTGGGCAGATGTTGAAAACAGAGAAATATTACCACCAGAGTCATTTCAAAATGAGTCAATTCAAGTTGCTATGAATAGTTTACAGATCAATAATCATAACAAAGTAAGTCATAATTCCGAACAAATATTTATTTAACATAATATTTTGTATTTTTAAAATGTATGCAATTTTATTCTCTACTCCAAAGTTAAAATAAATAATATTAAAATTGGGCAGGATTCGCAAATTAAATCCTTAATAATCTTGTTTTTTATTTTCTAGGTCATAGGTTCTAATACTTGTGATAGCATACCAATTACAAATGTGGATAGAAATAATTACACAAAAAATAATTCTGTGGAAAATGATGGTGGTAGTTATATTTTATATTTTCAAGCTCTTTTTGAGTTTTTGTTTTTTCCTTATAACGGATGAGGCAAATTAAAAAAAAAAAAAATGTATGAGATTACATTTAACTTTTGTGTATTTTTAATTCTAGATAGACCACCAGTTGGACTTCATAGATTGGTCACTGGCCAAACAAAATCTTTTGAAGATAATTCAGAAAATAAAGATTTTGAATCATGTGGTCCTCAACCTTTTGATGTTCGCACAGTACCTGGACAACTAAGTGATGATGATATTCCTACGCAGCGGCATGTAACAGGCTCACAAATTGGAGCTAGGTCAATTGATAACAATTTAAATTTACAAAATCAAGACAATAATTCAGTTACACTTAAAAGGCTCCCATCATTAGAACACTTTCAAAATCAGTTTGAAGGTCATTCTCGTCAAGTTTTACATAGAGATTTTGAAGACTTTGTTAATCAGACCTCTGATAATCAGAAACTTGATGAATCAGTCAAGACAGATATAGACGATTCGTTCAGAAATGAGTCTCATTCTGAATTAAAAGAACCGACTACAGTCATTAAAAAGAGTCGGCCCAGAGTTCAAGATCCTGAGGTTTTTGAACGAACTGGACCAGATGGATATATGAATGAAACAAGCCCTTATATAAGGTCAACCGTTCAAAACCATACAAAACCTGGTATTGATTCACATGAAAATAATTTAAAATTATCAAGTTCCAATCAACTTGACACTACAGATAGATTTCAAAATTATGACAAAACAGAAAAAAGAAATGAAAAGAAGCATCCCCCACCACCTGGTTTTCATAGAATGGTTGAAGGTAATATTGGAGAAGAAGGTGTTCAAAAATATAGTCAACCAAGGAATAACCAAAAAAATGATGAACATCTGAGACGGCATTCCATTGATTCTGATTCATCAGTACCTATGGCAAATATTGTATCCGAAGAAGGTCATAAAAATGCAAGAAGAGGGTTACAACAAAAAAAATATAGCAAAAATTTGGAACGTTACCAGAATCGTGATAAAAGACCACCTTACAGACATCGTAAAGAGTATGTTTGAATTCATTTTTATGTATCAGTCAGTATAAAACAATTATGTTTATCCATTTTAGAAGTGAAGAAGATTATTTTTATGAAGAAGAAGAAGCAAATAATTCACAGAGTCCAGATGTTGAACCGGAATATAGATCACACAGATCTCGAAACCATCAATTTAAACACTACAAACATAGAAATCCCCATGAAAAGTAATTTGTTTTTACAAAAAATATTTATATTTTACTTATTTCTTAACAGTTTTGGTATTTAACATTTGTTTACCAACTTTTTTTAATATTATATTTCTAAAAGTTTTAACTCTCACAATGTTTGGCATGTTTTGTCTTGCTTTGCACAGCTACGACCACTCGGACCTAGAATACCAAAGCGAGTATGATGAATTTGATGAATATGAAAGACGAAGACGTTATAGGTAATTATTATAATGATTCAATACTTAAGATGTAAAACTACTTAACTGCTCATTATTTTGTGGTTAATGTTCAATAAGTTAGCTCTTAATTTAAATTGTTATGCTGATTTGAGTATTGTAAATCTATCAAACTTAATATGATTAAATTTGTAATATAAACATAAAACATGTAATGTTTATTAGTTAATACCTTACCATAAACATTTTATGAGTAGTGGTTATTATAGAAGTGGTTTCACATCTAAAAATTGATTTATTATTTCTAAATACTTTAATAACTATATGCTGAGGCTGGAATAAGAAGATTACCATTTTTAAATTTTAATTCTGGGGTATGGTGTGGTGCAATTGTCGGAGCCTGCAGTTGCTGTTCAGCTCTGCGGTTCAGATAGGTGAACCCATTATCATCTTACAATTTTAACTAGGGCATTTTAGCAACTTCACCTGTAGTCCAAAATATCCTAGTTGTAAAAAACTCGCTATTGACCATACTAAAATTATGCAATGTGTCATAAATAATAATTTAGATCTACTCATTGATATTTCTTTAGTGATATCAGATATGTATATATATAAATTGTATGTCATTTATAAATAACCAATTTAATAAAAAATTAACTTGAGTAAGGTGCTTGTATTAATGTGAGAATATTGTGTATTAAGCTTAATCTCGTCATGACATTTATGCGTGCATTGGCACTTAATTTATTTACCAAAATGTTGTAGAAACAATAAAAACTGTATAAACTTCTTATTATTATTTACACACATGTATTTAAATTTTGAGTCTCTTTTTTAACAAGAATTTAATATTGCAGGAGTCCTGAATCTGATCGTTATAGAAGACCCCCTGTGAGGAGTTATCGTGACAGGCGATATCAAGAAGAAATAAGGTTAGTATTGTGTATCAATCAAAAAGAACTAAAATTGTCTTTTTATGAAGTAAAAATTAATGCATGTATATTTTTTTTTAGTAATAACTATTTTAAAAGAGAAGATTCAAGCTATCGAAATAGACCTTCAAGTAGGACTGATTCTGATTATCATAGAAGATACTCACCGGTTCCGATTCAAGATTGTATGGCTCAAATTGATATGCTTAATCCCGTAGAAAGTATGTTAATTTTAAATTTAAATACAATATACCATAGGTAATATTACTTAATTAATGAAAATTAATTCATGTGTTTTTTTTTAAATAATTCACATCTATGGTCAATAAGCAAATGATATTATTTAAAATTATTTTTTGGTCTAAATAAACAATAATATCCTACTTTAAAGTTGTTATTTTTTGACGTCTTTCGTGTTTATTAAACAAAATATTACAATAAAATAATCTTAACATCATATTTATATTTATCATGTAAATATGTTGGATACAAATCTGTATATCTATTAGTTTACCAAAATATACCCTAATGATAAAATCTTTATATTTTTCAGAAAAAAAATACCTACTGAAATTTAGAGAAAGAGATCCTAAAGGTTATACAGAATGGTATGCAAACTATAAAGCAAAAGTGGAAATGCAAAAGTTGTTATCTAGAACAAAAAATGGTTCACAATGTAGCACTCCTATATCCACTCAATCACATGATATGTATGTCATCATTTTATTTTATATGTATTTATTTTAAATTTTAATTTACTAATTTATTTTCAGAGGTCATCTAAGTAATGTGTTAGAACAAGAAAGAGAAATTCATCGAACAACACCTCCTAGGTATCCCAAGTATCACATAAATGGTAATTATATAATTAGTTTTATAGGTAATTTTACATTTATGTTGAATGTAATTAAGAAAATTAAATATATTTAGTTTATATATTACATATATGGTAGGTTATATAACCCATTAACTTAGCATAAATGTAAAGCAATCTATTTGACAATAACTATGATTGTTTAGCTGAAAAATGCATCATATGTGACTCACATTGCTCCAATTGACAATGTACGCTCTTCATCGATAAACAATTGATAATATTTCAGGCAATAATTGACCAATTTGCATAATTCTAAAACTAAATTCTTTGTTAAATATAGAAAATAAATATTTACTTGAAGTATTTTTTTAGAACATTAACCACTTTAATCATAAAGCTGATGGTTTATAAAAATCTGTTGAAATTTGTTAATAACAATGACTTATGAAGGGGTTTTGCGAAAAATAATGCCGGATTCAGATTCAGATTCCTTACCCTCGAAAACATATTATACCACCCTCAAACTGAGCTGATCTCTTAGTTCTATGGGAATGGGGGTATAGTGTATAGACTAATAGTGTAATAACTTGATATTAGATGTCAAACAAAAAACAGTATACAAGTTTAAAAAAAAAAAATGTTTAAATGCCTATTTTATCAACCCTCTAATTACCTCTAACCCCTTAAACACAATAACAGTTAAGACTATAATAATTTTATAAAATTGATCTTTGATTTTATCATTTTACTTCATTGACAAATGTATTATGATATATAAAATACAAATTTATCTTATTTGCATAACTTTCTTTAGAAAAAAAATTCTATAATAATAACAAACTGTTTTGTCACTAAAGTCTCTATACTTTCAACATTAACCTTTTTAGCTAGTGTCAGTTTTAAAAGTTTGAATAAGAGTTTTGTTTGATGGGTTTTAAGTTACGACACGTAAAATGCAAGTTATTACTTTCATTTACTCGTATGCACTGTGATTCTTTAATTATACTTTCTAAAATGAAATGTAGAATTTTTTTTTAAGTTGAGTAATAATTTATTTATGTTTTAGCAAAAATGAGTATGGCCTTTGGGAAATTGTTTTTATTAGATTCCTCGAATGCAACTTTGAGCATTATTAAAATTTCTCCTGATCCTGATGATACTGAAGCAGCTGAACTCTACAAATTTCCATCGCCTTTTGTTTTGTTAGTGAGATTGTTTCTGTTATTACATGCCATATTATTTTTATAAATATAATTATATTTATTTGTGTTTTTATAGAGGTAAAACACATAAAAATGTAGTAACTCAGTATTTGAATAAACTAGTAGAAGAAGTATCAAATAATTCTGAACGTCTGTTGTATGAATTGATAAGCATGATAACAAAACGAAGTGGTGTAAGTAGAAAATATTAATTACTCATTAGTCATTGGTGTAAAGCGAAATTTGTTGTTAATTTTCACTAAAAAAATCAATAGGTAAATATTGTTTTTTAATGTCGAGCAAATAAAAAATAACGAATTGAAGGTGTTACAAAAAAACTTCTATACAAATCAACTTGACGCCCCTTACAAAAACTGATTAAAAATGTCTTGCTGAAATTGACGGACACGTATAGTGGTTCGACGAAAATTAACACTATCCTTTTAAATTTATGTTTATGTAGTAATAATTGTTAGTTTTGGCTGAAAAAAATACAAATGTGTTAGCTTTTGTTAGAAAAAACAACTAAATGTGTTAGTTTTTGTCAGGACTTAAACACGTTAATTTTTGTAAATATTATATTGATGTTCACCAAGATATCAACATGTCTAAAAAAAATTCAAATGTATTTTTAATATTTTCAGATTGTTGATGGAACAGATATATCTGAAATGCTTATGGAAAATGTTGCTAAATACCCAGTTGAGGGTATTTTGTTTGAGAGTATGAGCATGAAAAATATTAAAGAAATGTCAGGTGAACCGCTTAAACATTTTAGAGACTTACTTTTACAAGGAAATAAATCAGAAGCATTAGGTTAGTATACAATTTTTTAGTATTTACTATTCAATATTTTGTATTCACCAGTTTTTTTTTTTTTTTAGAATTTGCTATACAAAGTCAAAACTGGGGATTAGCTTTTGTGTTAGGTTCTTATATGGACTTGAAGACTTTTAATTACATTAAATCTAAATTTTTCCAAACTATTCCTTCAAATGATACATTACAGACATTTTTCCAACTTAACAGTGGAAAAGTACCATCGTGTACTACAGTAAGTATAATTACTAATTTGAAATTATTGCATTAAATTTTAAAGAATTCCAACAGTTTGTGTGTTTTCACTATATGTTAGTCAGTGTTAATTACAGTTTTTGTCCTAAAGATTTATGTTAAAACAATTATTTTATGAATTTTGCTCGTCTTTAAAGTCAAACAATACTCCTCTCACATAAAACAAAGGGATGAGGGAATCTTTGTACAACTAAGCCGGACGGGGCAAAGATCTCCAGCTAACCTTAAATACAATTTCATTGCAAATCATACATTTGCAACACTAAAATTGTTTTAGATGTAACAAGTGCAACACTTGCAAACATCATATTTTGACCGCTACTATTGTGTTTTGTTGATTATAATTTAAAACTGTATGAATGTTATATCTGTATTTTATATAATTGTTGTCATACAATTTAAGTGTGTACAATGGGATAGCATTATATTAAATCAAGTTTTCTGATACAAACACATTTAAGTACGGCTAGTATGATAAACACTTCTTGACATGAAGCTAAAATTATTCTGCTGATGTTAACATAGCTAAGAAATATCAATGTTGGGGATTTCAACTTCTAAAACAGACAGGCAGTATTTTTGTACCAAAACATGTCTTGAGAGATGCATGTTTTAAAAAAGTTGAGTCGTTTAAATGCATAATTACATAAGAAAAATGTATTTACATTGATGCAATAAACTCTTCATATTTAATTTAATATAGACTAATATATAGTGATGTCACTCTCTTCAGGGTCAACAATAGACAAGAGTAGATATTTTTTAATAAATCCCTACTATTAAATATACATATTTTTAAATGTTTAGTTTAAATCAATTTCTTTAAATATCTTTTATTGTGTTTTAGTGTTGTACAGACAGTACATGGGGTGATTGGAGAGAGCATTTAGCGATGATTTTGAGTAATCAACACGTGAACATTAACAATGCATATAATGCAATTTTACAGCTTGGTGACACATTAGGTTAATATACCTTATATATAATAAAATTATATTTTGCTTACACATTAATATAATCAATAACTGTTGCATTTTAGGCGCAAAAGGTGATATTTTTGGTGCCCATTTTTGTTATTTAACTTCTTACATGCCAGTGGAGCCAGGGATGCCATCTAAGTTTACTCTGTTGGGGACATCTTCTAATCAACCTTTTAACACTAATACCAGCAATCGTGTCATATTAATTACAAGTGCTTATGAGTTTGCCATTCGATTAAACAACAGCAATTTCTTCATCCCTAGTCTTTTGGTAAATATTCTTTATTTTGTATTAAAAGTTTTACAAGATTCGAATGTATGTACAAACTATAATTTTTTGTTTTAGCCTTACAAATATTTATTAGCAGTTCGTCTAGCTGAGTATGGTGAATGCGAATATGCTCTTCAGTATTTAGAGGCCATTGCGACACAAGTAATTGCATCGCCTATCTCGGTGAACACAGGATTTGTGTCTAACATTGTGGACCTTGGTACAGATTTGCATTATATGCAAATGTCAAATATCAACCTGTCAGGAGTAATGGATACGTTAGATTGGTTGGAAGATTTAAAACATGTTCTGTCGAATTCAGGCAGTGTAAGTGTATTTCAATTTGTTTTACTTAAACTAAATACAATTAAGTATTTACACATATTTTACAATTGGATATATTTTTCTTTTTTAGAATTACAATGCTGAAAATAATGTAAATAATGTTCTACCAACACAGCAAATAGAACAACAAACAAATCCTATCAATTATTCAAACGAACCAATTGAACCATATGAACAACAAAATGTAATGTAATATATAACTTAGTTAAAAAAACAAACACTTTATATGAATTTCTAGATTCCAGATTTGAACGTTGATCATTCCGTTAACTATGAACCACAAACTCCACCTCAAGAACTTCCTCCTCAAGTTGTACAACCTCCCCCAGTTAATCCATATTGGCAACCAAGTGCTGTTTCACAAGCAATAATTGAACCGTCATTACAAGCCGGTAAATTGTTTGAATACATAAATAAGAATATATGAAAATAAATAATACACAATATTATAATAATATTATAATATTATAAGAAATTGTCATGTGTACTAAATAACTTTAAAATTTTAAAAATTAAATAATTTTAATAAGTTTTAAAATAAAACTGACAAAATATGAGAGAAATAAAGACAAAACTTAAGTTAGATCACAATAATTTAGCTATTTCAAAATATGTATGTATTTTAAACTCCTTGTTGGATGCTAATAGGTGACATTCAATAAGATCATCAGTGAGCCACTTCACCATAGATCAATTCATGAACTACAACTACTATTATTTTTATATGTTCGTAGTGTAAATTTTTTGCTTTCAATTGTTTTTTTTATGTATATTTTATTTTAAAAACGCTTTTAATCTGTATTGTACGCTATACACTATAATATTCTATAATGGTTTTAAGAAAAAAATAAATTATTTATTCTTGTAAATGGTTATTTTTTTGTTTCCTTGACCTTAGGTACCATAGAAATCAATCTAAATTGAATAATGAAAAATCCTATACGTACAACTTATAATTAACCTAATAAATTAACAGTAATACTCTATTTCAAATAATTGTGTTCACTATAATTTTAACATTTAATTAAAACAATTGAATTTCTAAATAATTAAAAGCATACTGATTTTAACTAATATTTATATACATATATATTCCATAAATATTAAATTAACAAGTTACTAACATGTTTTCTGTAACAATTATTACTTTAATCATTATTATTATGTTTTTTTAGAATTTACACAATATTATGACCCTTCGTCCATATCAGGAGATGTAAATATTCATAATAATCAAAATGAAATGACATCAGAAATTTCTACAATTTCTCCAGATCTGACATTGACAGCTGCTGAACCAGAGAATACAGTATCAACAAAATCAAAATTTGGTTTTTATGATCGCCAAATGGCTGAACTAGATCCAAAGGTATTTTAAAATATGTGAGCATAATTAAATATTCAAAAATTATACTAAACAAGACAATTATACGAATCATTAGGTCCCTAGTTCGAATGCGAATAAACAACCAGTAAAAAAACCAGAGGACAATAAACGATCACAAAAAGAAAAAAATTCATGGCTTGGTGGGCTAACAAAGTTTTGGAAACCTTCAAACAATAATGATGTAAAAGAATATTGAAACTATTATTATTTTTACATTATAAATAAATAATATATAATATGTATTGTTATTATAGACAATTGGAGAAAATTTTGGAAATGACTCAGCTCCCCAGCAGGCAGCTCCTCCCATGGATTCTGAATTAAATTTTAACCCAGTAGCTAATAGTTCTCCAGCTAATCAAACACAAAATCAATTTAAAATACAGCGAAAACGAGGTACTTTTTATGATAAGACATTAAAAACACAAAGATTAATGGCCTGTATTTAAATACTATGAATGTTATCAAATATTATATTGTATAAAATATTTTATTATATTTTAAAGGCGCGAAAGACATGTATGTGAACGTAATGAGTAACAGCAAACAGACGGAAAATGTTTTGGCAGCAGATCCGCTATTTCAACCGAATCAACCACCAACAGCTATTTACAATCCATTCTAGTGATGACCCAAAACGGATTCTGTAATGTGGTCGTTTCAGCAAAAATTATAAAAATGAATTGGCCAGTGGAAAAATGTATTTGATATTATAAAACAAATGTATTAAGCATGATGTATTCATCAATATAGGAATCTTACCTGGGTATTCTACTTGTGTTATAATATATGTATTTTTTCATGTGATATTATGGTTACAGTATTTCATGTATTGATTATGTTATATTTGAATATTACATACAAATTATACTTTTATCTCAAATTTACAACATCATATTATGTATAGTTATAAATTAGTATTAAAAAAATACTTTTAAAAAACATTTAACTATCCATATAATGTGTTGAATTTATTTAAAATTAAGGAATATTGTGGGTTTTATAATATTACGTTAATATTTGTTGTGAATTATTGTCTTGTAGCTACAACAAAATTATTCTTAATATGATGTTGTAATCTATTATTTGTTATGTATTATAATAAGTTGTCCAATTTTAATCATTTTTGGGGTGAATGTACATAATTAGGGGTTTTATTTTATTATAATAATAGCATTTACAGTTATTAATATAAATAAATTGTCATATTAATTGTTTGTAAGTATCAAAAATCTATTTGATGTATAGCTAAGACTTTAAAGTTAAATATATTTAAAATATTATGTAAAACAAAATAGTTAATTATTTAAATATTTATTATTTCGTAAGGTATTCTTTTTTTTGTTTTTAGCTTTGACACAACATTGTGGGAAGCTATTAATTCTGGTTCTGACTTGTCTTAGTTTTAAGTCTGTCGTAAATGTATTATGATGTTAAGAAGTTAAATCTTTGTGAAGTAACCCTCCACTTTCCCAATTCGTCTTTATATAACGTATACATATGATTTTATAATCGTATAACAAAACGTAGAATAATCAATTTTCAATTTATTTAATTCCACAAAAATAAAAATTACATTTTAACTACCAGTTTAATGATTGCCTTTATTTTTTAAATATAACAAACTATTAACAAAACAAATAGACAATATAATAATACAGGTAGCTTGGAAATGTATAACAACTATACAAATAATGAAACAAAAAAAACGAGTAAAAAATTATTACTATTTTTCACTATATGTACAGTTTTTTTTATAATAACTCTTATTGGCTAATAAAACCTTATTTATACTATGGCAACTTATGAAATATTACTTAATTTTATAAAACACATAATTCTTAAATTAATTTTAAAATTTTTAATGCTACACTTATATACTTAACTAATTAAAAGAAAAAAACGAATGATAAGTTTTTCACTTAAATAAACAGTCAATAATGATTAATATTTGAGTAAAACTTAATATCACATATGTAAATATTAAGTAGATTATTATGTCAATATTTATCGATAATACTAGCGCTTCACAGTTCCGAACTGAGTAAAGAATTTTTTTTTATTATTACCATAATCAGTCCAGGTTTTTCAGGTTCCATATACCTAAAACATTTTTTTATAAATCCAGTCAAATTATATTTAAAAAGACACCCAGAACAATATATTTTATTGATTTAATACTCAAAATTCTCCTTTCCCTTGGTGGTAGATTTATAATATTCTTTAAAAATTAAAAAAAAGACAACCCTAAAACATGACATTTTTTAATTTTTCTCTCTTAAAAAAAGTTACGATTACTCCAAAATTAGATATTTTATGTTATACAATTGTAATGTTTTTTGGTAAAAACAAAAAATTATGATCCTTGTGAAGAAAGAATACCTAAATTATGAATTATCACTATAAAAATTACTATGTACTGACCTGTATGATCACATAGTTATTTTTAGTTAAAACATTATATGACAATTGTAGTCTGTATGTAAGAGGAATTTATATCATTTTGTTTTGTGCTATTTTTTTTAATAATCACCCAATACTTAACGTATCCATGAAAATTCTAATCACTTGATTATCTAAGCTTAATTTTTATTAATAATAATTGTTTAATAACAGTACATTATGATGCCCGGTTAAAGTTTTGGGCAAAATTGTATTACACTATGCTACAATTTAAACATTTTTCTGAACCAGACCATGTTACAAAAAAAAAAATTTGTTTTTGACCTATAGATTAACTTCAATAATAATAATAATAATAGCTATACTGCTTATTAGGGTTGGGCCTATCCGGATATTCGGATATCCGAATTATCCGGATAATTCGGGTACGGATATCCGAAATCCGGATAGTTTCGGATAATAAATAATATTTCAATTATCCGTAGAACCAAAACTATCCGAATAGTTAAAAATTATCCGTATAGTTTCGGATATTTATTTAATTTTTAACCAGCCGAATATATTTTTTTGAGTACTCTAATTTATGTATTTGTTGATACTTTCACGGGTTGAAATATTACGTAGATGATTTTTAGATGGTTGTTAACCGACTATTCGGACTCTTTGCAGAGTCCAACCTCAGGGTTGTCACGACTGTTCCGCGACCGGTTAATAACCACCGACACGGATATATCTGAAAAGCATCCACGTGATATTTCAACCCGTGAAAGTTTCAACAAATACATAAATTAGAGTACTCAAAAAAATATATTCGGCTGGTTATAAATTAAATGAATATCCGAAACTATCCAGATAATTTTTAACTATTCGGATAGTTTTGGTTCTACAGATAATTGAGATATTATTTGATATCTGAAAATAACCGGATTTCGGATATCCGTAACCGAATTATCCGGATATTAAATAATCCGGATATCCGCAAAATCTGAATTTTAGTCCCAACCTTACTGCCTATTACTGTTTATTCTAACACTCAATACACACAAGTGATGTCAATACTTACGTCAAAGATCTAATTTGAAGTCTTTTAATAACAACAGGCCTGATGCGTGCAATTCCTTTCGGACTGTGTTTCCCTCGTCCAGTAATAATAGTCAGTTGTCTTCCTCTACTATATAAACCATTAAGTTTTTTCAGTTTTGTTATATGATTGTCCAAGTATAAATCCAATACCAGGAGAGCTTCTTGTACCTACAATGTAAAATTTTAATCACTTAAAATATTTTATTTATAGGTATTTAACTAAATCTTTGGCTAGTTAGAATTGGGAAATTACTTGTAAATAATGTAAATCTATAGTCAGGGCATTTTCATTATTTGTAAGCATTGACACTAGTGCTTTTGTTTTTGCATACTTCTCATTTTGTTTAGATTCTTCTGCCTGATAAAATAAGTATTTTATCATAATAAGTTATACATGTATCAAGCAGTACAATATAGTGTAACATATATAATATTCATACCTTTTCTAAATAGTATGATGTAACAGCAGGATGGATTTTTGTACTAATTGATTGTTGGGCTTTATTTAAAAACTGTTGTTTTGCGTGTGCATGTTCTATTGCTTCATTCGAGTAATCGTGGTTACTATTTACATTTAAACCTTCTTGATAAGAAACATCATCTTCGTTTTCCTAAAATAATTAAAATACAAAAATAAATTGTTTATATTATATATACATATATATTTTTTTTTATTACCACTATTTTTTCGTCTTCTTTATTTAAAACAGAATTTATGCCAGATACCTCACTTAAGACATCACTAGCTTCCTGATAAAATAAAAAATATACAAATTAGTATAACAATTAATACTAAAATAATATATACAATAGTGTTGATTTTTCATACTTGAAACTTGTAATCTTTTGCACGCAATACATTGAGAACAAGTCTGGAATCAAGATTTTTATACTTCTCTGAAAGTAATTTTTTTGATAAAACAGCAGCAAATGTATTTTCTTTCTAAAAATCAAAATTATTTGAATGAACAATATTACTATGATACGTGATTTTATATTTAACAATATTACACTTAGTTGACTAGATGTAGACGCATTGACTGGATTTTCTACTTTGCATTCTTCTTGTAATTTTTTTGCCAATGTTTCATCTAAGAAAAAAAAAAAAATAGTATTAGAGTTAACATTTTGCTTCAAGATGTTACTAAGAATTTTAATTATTAAAGAAATTAACAGAGACATTTTTTAGCAGTCGAATATTCTTTAACAACATTTTAAATAAATAATAATATAAAAAAATACAAAGAACTATAGAGTTTAGTAAAAATATCAGTTATAAATTATCAATGGCTATCTTTTTAATTAACAAATATGTAGCAGTTAATTATGGTTAGAAAAATTAGGGCAAAGTAAGTAAATGTTTTATTGTCTAATCAATTGCGATTTTATGTATTCGATAGAAGAGAAATTGATTAAGAAGAAATAAAAAATGATTAATAATCGGTTAATAACTTTTCAAATAATAAAAAGTAATAATAAAATAATAAATAATAATTAATAATAAAAAGTAATTAATAATTTTAAATTACTTGATTGAAAATGATTTATTTTTCGGTTATTTAAATAGCTAATAATAAATTATTTTAAATACATGATTCAGGTCTTAAATTATTAACTAAAATGTATTTATTTTACTCTAAATAAGGCAGCAAACATTTTAAGAGGCTCTTAAAATGAATAATTTATGTTTTCAATAAATAAGTGTAATTTTGAATTTAATTTAATTTGTTGATAAATCATTCAAATATAGATAATTTTTTTTTTAATTTGAGACTAATTATTGAAGTAATTTAAAAATAATTTAAAGGAATTTTGATTAATTGAAAAACCCATACAGTCCTAGCAAAAAAATTTTGAGACCTTAACGACCACCTATCTGTATAATATATATTAAATTTAATATTATTAATAATGTGATGAGTAATGCATTCAGAATAAAATAATACTATACAACATTCCTACTTTACTTTTTAATGTTCATATCTCCAAGAGAAGTTATTTAAATTTGGTTATTACAGTCTATATCTCGAGTATGCCATTATCGTATAGGTACTAACTAAATAAAATATTTGATTTCAGTATATTAAGTTTCAAAAACCCAAAAAAACCTATACAACAATCACAAATAAAATAGTTACTAACCTTGCAATATTGCTTCTTGATTAATAATATCTGTAGGCACATTTGCAATCAAATAGTAATAAAGATCTTCAGCAAACTTTTCAGGGAGTCTCACAGACATTGGAATTGTAGTTTTACCTGAGAAAAACAATGTAGGAAGCTTTATTTAGTGTTTTTTTTTTTTTTTATAGATAACACTGGGCAACATACATATTGGTGCGTACGATTTTCCTGCTGATTTTGATAGTATTTTAAGTGCTGATTTCAAATATGTCATCAGATTTTTTCCTATCAGATCTACTTTTTGAGATATGGGTACGCTAAATCTCAAAAAGTGCCTAAATATCACTTAACCGGTATAAATTTACTCTACAATACACCTTTTTTCTTCAAAATTGTTTTTCTCGAATAGATAATACTTTTCATGTAGATTACAAATCTGTAAATAATGTGCGCTTATCGCACTTAGTTTGGAAGTTACAAATGTTTTAAAATCGTCAATTTAGCGTCCAGCGACGCATGTCTACCCGCGGCAGGTGCCGTTCGCCACAGTGCCTTATCGAGAGCGGCGACCGAAAAATTAAGAAGAGCTGATAGGAAAAATCTGATGATATATTAGAAATCAGCACTTAAAATACTATCAAAATCAGCAGGAAAATCTTATGCACCAAAAAAAAAAATGTTTTTTTGTAGGCCTGTGTAATTAAACAATATACTTGTTGATTACATACTAAGCTCTGATGATGAGTCTCCAAAATAATCACATAATTGAGCTAGAACAGATGTATCAACAACTAACTGAACACATTTCTCATCATTATTTTCATTTATCTCAATGTCTTCAGCTGTCGATGAAGATTCCAAATCTGTTGGTAGCACATCATCATCAGTTTGAAAATAATTGTGCCCTTCTTTTAATTTTTTAATTTTTAAAACATGTTCTGAGTACAATGAGTCTCCAAAAACAAATTTATTCTCAATATTTTTCCTTAAGATATCACCTTCATAATGTTGGTCTAATGCATTAAATTTTTTATTTTTGGAATCACATTTTTTTTTAACGCCTTTTTTGTTTTCTTCAACTTTTTCAGCATGTATTTTTTGAAAATGTATATTATGGTTTAATGAATCGCCTATATTTTCAGTATCCTGTTGTTCTTCTTTTACTTCATGATTTGACTCAGTAAAAACTTGTTGATCTTGAAACGAACTTTCAACTAAAGGTGTGTATTCTTTCTGAACGAAGCCATGAATTTGTTGCTTAGTTATATCATGTCCAGATTCTACTAACACATCTACAATCCAATCAATATCTCCATTACATTTATCAAAAAGTTCTGTTATAAGTGAGCATACATTCTCGGGAAACTGTTTCAGTAGTTCTTTATAATTAGGCTTGTATATTAAACCTTCTAAGTTACAAGTCATAGTGCCCTTATCTAGTTTACCATCGGATGTTGTTAATACATTTTCATTTCCTTTGTTAATATCTTTATTTTTTCCAAAAACAACATAATCACTATATTCCTCTGATGGAATTTCTTCTAATACTTGCATGAATAAGAAGTCATTCTCATATGTATTAATAGACTTATCGGCAACATTAATGGCTTCATTGGTATAAGGTAGAACAGAGACAAAATCTTCGTTTTTGACTGAACAATTTCCAGATAAATAGTCATTTACTTTCTCTTCAATAATACTATCATCTTTTTCATTTACCACATATTCAGACCAAGGATCTTCATCGCCTTTGTTAAATGTGGGCAAATTGTCATTTATTTTATTGTTTGCAGAATCTTCAGACACGAGTAGATCTTTGAACTGATCGTTAATAAATAAATCGTTAACTTCGATGGGAGGCTTACTAATTTTTTTTGTATCATTTTTAAGTTGTTCACAAAGTTGGTACTTTTTGAATGCGTTTGAATGTTTAGGAGGAGTATTATTTTTATTATACTTTAATTTGAATCTTTTTAGTAAAATTTCAACATTGACTGTATGATCATATCGGTGTAACATATTTTCAATGTTATTAAAAGGAACTTTATGTACATTTCTTTTATACAATTCATTTACGTTCCAGGCCCAATCGGTGTTGGGCTCCAAAATTTCAATCCAATAACCATTATTAGTACTCAACTTTACATAGTTTTCCATTTCCCAAGCTTCAATATTAGTATTATCAACTATAACTGGAGTAGTCTCACATTTAATGGCTTTTTCCACATTTTCAAACGTCCATCTATGAGCATCTGATACTTTGTGGCGGTCAAAACAATAACGGCCAGTTCGTTTATTTATGAAAAACTTATCTGCACTAAATATATATTTATCAGGATTTGTGTTGTTGTAGCACTGGTTTAAAATACTATATGCCAGATACGATTTTCCACTTCCTGGGCAACCTCTCATAAGTATCATGACTTTGTATCCTTTTGAAATTAAATATAATATTCGATTAATAGGGGATTCTCGCGGTGACAAACATTTCCAATCGACACTTTCAATAATATTACAATCTTTATCATAGTTCATTAGTTCTTCTTCTTTTTCATGTGACACCATCATGGGATTTGGTATAGGTTCAGTAATCTGCATCAGGTCACGATAAGCCATTAATACTGCAATAAATATAAACATTGTATACAAAACTAGTTTAACATTTTGAAAATAGAATATACAACAATTAACTTTGTATTGTATTTATTCAATTAAAACAATTACACAAATCATAAAACGAGAAACCTGTACAGAAAGATTAATACTTTAAGTAACGAATGTAAACGGACTGAGAGAAGAAATGATGATAGACCCAATTAATGGCCAATGACGCAATAGTATGTAAATGGAAGAATACTTGAAGCCGCTTTTGAACTATAGAGTTAATTGAATGTACGCCAATAAAAAAATAGATAATTATTTTCAACTGAATTCTAACAAATCAATAGTGATGTAATTATAGTTACTGTTATTACTCGTATGGCTTTTTGATGGGGAGTAAGCTGTTTTAAAGGCTAATTTAGTTGCATTTGAGAAGGATGGTAGTTACTACACCATTGTCTGCTAGAGAAAAAATGTTATTTTTCCCTCCAAACTTGTATGAATTAATAAAACACAAAAAATGTTTAGAAAAACATTATTTGACAAACATTATAAAAACAAAGGGTAGTAAAATAAAAAAAATAATCGAGGTATAACTTTAAAAAGGTTGAATTACTCATAATAACAGTAGGATGCAAAGTTATATAAGGCTGTCAAAAGAATGAAATTCAAACTCACTTACAAACTTAACAAGCGTCAGAGAATTTCAGGGGATTCGACAATAAATGAAATATAAATTATTACGAAAATAAAAAAGACTTACAATCATTATTTCGGTTTTCTATTACCATTTCGATTATATCATGATCAACGAGGCTAGAAAACATATTTAATAAATCATCTTTGGTGTTCATACAATTCCAACGCATATCAGCAGCAGCAGCCATCTAAAAACAAAAGCAGTTTAAATATAAAAAATTATTATAGCGAGAAAATATAATTTATTTTTTCTCTTAATAGTGAAAACTTAAACATGATGTTATAAAATTAAAAAAGACCAAAGTTACAACAGAATAATAATCTCAATATATTATAATAAACTAAAGGACGTTGCAATAATATTATCTTTATATAATGAGGTAATAATAATAGGTAACTATGAGTATATTAACAAAAAATTCAACTAAATGATACTGAGTAATAAATTACTTTTTAATTAATAATTTTTGAGTAGTATTATACTTCAAACTAGAGCTTGAAAATTGACATCCAAATAGGAATAATGATAACTTTTAAAATCAAGGAATTACTAATTACTATTTAATGCACGTAAACTGAAATTTGTATTCAGTAATCAACACGGCACAAAGTACAGGTTCTTATGCTTGAAAACTGAAAAATCTGAAATGACAGTGTTTTTCTATAATCTTATCAATGTTTTAATGCGCATTGCGCGTTTGAATTTTTATTTGATACTAAATAATTTCAACAAGTGTCTATCACAGAAATTATAATAATATGATGTGTACTAATATTATGTAGTTATAGAATGGCACCCTAATTTTATTTCTCTGCTAAAGGTCACACTGAAATATAAATAGAACAACAACAAATGGTCTTATCACCTTCAAATGTTTAATAATACAATTCATTATCATTTATCAACAACATCGGAACATGAATAAGGTATCAGATTAAAGATTTAGAATTCCGGTTAATAATATTTTTTTTTTGCATTATAGAGCTACTTACAAGTAATATTAATTCACAAATATTTATTTGTAAGGTGTAAAAACATAAAAATGCATTAGTTTGACAGTCTCTTACAAATTTATGTCGTTCGTGGACAATACACAAAACGTTTTACATTTATTATACTTATATCCAACTAAAATTGAGTGTTTTCTTTTTTTTTATAATCTAAAATTTAGTCAAAAAGTTAGACGTGATAACTAAATACATAAACACCAAATAAATAACATGCGTTTTTTTATTTTTTCTCAAACAGAAACCTAACATTTCTCTAATCACATTTATTTTTTTTAATACAAAAATACAATTATGTATGGTGAAATGAATAATAATGCAATAGCGTTACCATTACACTACCAACGTGTTGTGCAAGCTATTAATATTAAACCGTACTTAAACTATGTTGAAAACATTTTCAGAACTCCTTTAGGGTATGTATTTATTATTATATTTATATTGTATTTAACAGTAATTTAAATAACTTTTCACTAAATGCAATGATTTGTATTTTAGCGAGGATTCTAGCGACACTGATCTAGATGGAGATTTTAGTGATCTTGAAACTCCAGAAGGTAATAATACAGTATTTTAAAATTTTGGGTAAACAAATAATATATTATCACGGAATTTTAAGTAGAATTTAATTTAATTGTAGAACGTATGGCTGACCGTACTCGACTCTATAATTTATCTAATGTTGGAGATGATCGTTTATGGTTACAAAGTCTCCTCCTCAACAGTGATGACTCTGACGATCCAGATGATAGATTGACTGAAGATGATCTAAAAAATATGTTAAAAATGCATTTATTTAAGAAAAAGTGTCAACAACAATTTGAAACTGCTAAAAATGTAAATACTATTATATATTTTATTTAAAGTAAAATAATAACTAAGATTTGTGTACAATCTAATATTTTGTTAATTTGCTGTACTGTCAAATTTTTTTTAGAAAAATCGCTGTCGATATTATAGTTCTGGTTTGTTATCAAATTTCGACAAATATCAAACTAGGGCTGAGAAAAAAAGTGTTCAAAAAACTAAGGCATCTAATATCAGACATAAACACAAAGTATATACAAAAAATGTATCTATTTTGTTTTGTCAAATTTTTTAGTATATTTATCAAATATAAAATTTTGTTCTTTAGAGCTCTGAAAATGATAAAAAACTTACCAAACGTAAAACACGATCTTTAAGTCCTACTGCTAAAACATTGAAACTTGAAAAAAAGAAAGCTTTATTAGAAGCAAAATCCGCTCAGGTTATACTGATGAAAAGAAAAAAATTATGGTTACATATGGCTAAAAAAGAAATGGGAAAAGTATTTATTGTGTTTTTATATAGTTCTTTAGTTGAATTTAACAAAAATAAACTTTTATTATTATTAATATTATTATTATTATTAGGTGCATAGAATGAAGAATAATAACCATAAAGAAATACTGATAACTTGTCGTCGGACAGCTCAGTCTTGTATGAAGCATCTTCGCCAAAAGGCCATTCAAGTATAGTTGATTTTTTTAAATAAAATATTATGTTTTATAAAATTATAAAAATCATAAAGCAGGGTTTTAAAACGATAATTAAATGATATGTTATATAAGTTGTTAAAAAATTGAAAAAAAAACATTTAAGTATAATGAAAAACTTTGCTTAAGAGGACCACACACACCTGTTATTTTCTTCAAATAACCCGCCTTGCGTGGATTAATTTTACAAAGGCTATAATCAAAACTAAGAAACCAAATTTTTACATAATATGGACAACAACATTGTCTGTGTTCTACCATCGCCCTTTTTTTAATATTTCACCCAGTTAATGAATATCAAAAATATACGGATGATGAAACACAGATTTTGTCAACAGAGAATTTTGTCATAAAAAATATGTATGAATTTCTTTCCTTGACTATATATGAATCCTGAGGAAAATTAATTCACGCAAAGCAGTTTTGGAGGAAAAAAATTGTAATTTATCCTATGGAAATGATTGTGATAGTCTGACCAAAAAAAATGGCAATCAACAAAGTATCCTCATTACTGTATTAATAAGTATACATTATAGTTCAAACTCTAAATTAAGATTTTTCGAAAAATTGCCTATACTTTACTCCTTAGAAATGGCCGGTGTGGTGTCCTCTTAAATGTTATCTTTAAACAGAAAAACCAAAATTATATTTATCTGAACGAAAACATTAAAAAAAAAACCAAAATTTAACTATATTAAGAGACTTTATGGTATTTCCCCTATAATACAATTATTAACATTTTAAAAGTTAATGATATTTACATTTCAATAAAAATAAGGTTTATTGTAATAATGTTAAACATAACATATTTCCTAAATTTAATTCTTGATATGAAAATAGTGTGTACTTCTACTATATAATTATATTATATTTTTACACTATTAATTATAATATATTATATATTTGTATACTATATTACCATTTATTTATGATTAGAGTCAAAAAAATATGAAAGAAAATGTGTGGCGTGCCAAACGTCTGACTCGTGAAATGTTAACCTATTGGAAAAAATATGATCGCAATGAAAGAGAGACGCGCAAAAAACAGGAAAAAGAAGCCGAAGAACAAAGAAAAATGGATGTAGAATTAATGGAAGTATGTGCCTAAGTTCCACAAATGATATATATATAATATATAATATATATAATCTTGATGGTATTTTATTTATGGAATGATTTATTTTGGAATTAAAATTTTATAGGCCAAACGCCAACAAAGAAAACTTAATTTCTTAATAACACAAACAGAGTTATATGCACATTTTATGTCAAAGAAACTTGGACAAAGTTCTGCAGAAGAACAGTTACGAATTCTAAACCAGCTAGATGAAGAAAAAATACCTAGATTAATGCATATTGAAAATTATGATAGGTAAACCAGTTAAATTTGTTTTATGGTTAATGTTTATTTATTTATTAGATACATACTATCTTATTACGATTAAGTGTGTTTTTTTTCTTCTAGTGAAGTAATGAAAGATAAAGCATTACAAAATACTCAAAATGCATTAGATGCTCATGTACGTCAAGCTACTGAGTTTGACGATCCTGATTTAAAAATCAATACTCCTCCTCCAAATGAAGAACGTCCTCAACCAACAATATTTCAGGGTAGTCTTAAAATTTATCAATTAAAAGGAATGAACTGGCTTGCAAATCTCTATGATCAAGTAAAACACTATTTCTAACTTTTATCTATTTTTCTATTAACCCTTGTCCATATTTACTACTAGGCACTAAAAACATAAACGCTTGCCCTACGCTGGTAATTTTTTTTACTAAAATTAAAATTTGAAAATATTTAAGTGCAGCATTTATTTTTAAGTTTCCTGTAGTAAACACCAATTTATAATGAGGAATAATTTTCTATTTTACTAAAATAATTTAGTATTTCTATGTTTATTTGTCTGATTTCAGGGAATAAATGGAATATTGGCTGATGAAATGGGTTTAGGAAAAACTGTCCAATCTATAGCTTTTTTATGCCATATTGCGGAAACTTATCGTAATCTATTTGATAAAAAATAATTTAATATAATATGAAATATTAAAATATATTACGTTTACTCTAGGTGTTTGGGGTCCATTCTTAATCGTTTCGCCGTCGTCTACTCTTCATAATTGGCAACAAGAAATTGCAAGATTTGTTCCTGCGTTTAAAGTTGTTCCTTATTGGGGAAATCCACAGGTAATTTTTTTTTTTTTATGTCGCCTTTTTAAGAAAGTTGAGTAATATTGGGTTGTATATAATGTAGAGTATTCTATAATAGTTAAGAAACAAATAATATGTTTATTGTGTTGATCAGATTAACAATCTAACTTGTATTTATTGTAATTTTGTGTACGTATTTTATTATAGGAAAGAAAAATATTGAGGCAATTTTGGGACCAAAAAGGGTTGCACACTGAAGAAGCTAGTTTCCATGTAGTCATTACGAGCTATCAATTGATTGTCAGTGATTTTAAGTATTTCAACCGTATCAAATGGCAATATTTGGTTCTTGATGAAGCTCAAGCCATTAAAAGTGCAAACAGGTATTTATTTTTAACCATTCAATAAAGTTAATTGTTAATTTTGTTTTGATTTTTGTTTAACAGCGTACGTTGGAAATTATTGCTGACATTCAGATGTCGTAACCGCCTGTTATTGACGGGTACACCAGTGCAGAACAGCATGGCTGAACTCTGGGCCTTATTGCATTTTATTATGCCAACAATGTTTGATTCGCACGATGAATTCACCGAGTGGTTCTCTAAAGATATTGAGAGTCATGCCGAAAACAAAACTGGGATTGATGAAAGTAATATGTCGTTTATACTATTTAATCGTAATCAATTGATATAGAGAGTGGTCAGTTTTGAAAATTGACAAAAAACCATGTTCTTAATACTTAAAAGTTGTTTTATTTTTTAGGACACTTGTCTAGATTACACTTGATTTTAAAACCTTTTATGTTACGACGAATAAAAAAAGATGTGGAAAATGAGCTCTCAGACAAAATTGAAATACTCATGTATTGCCCTTTAACTTCACGTCAAAAAATGTTGTACTCCGGTAAGTTTCTGGTAGTGCATTATATCAGTAGTTTGTGTCAGTACTGTATTATAATAATAAAACATTATTTTATTTATTATAGCTTTAAGGAAAAAAATTCGCATAGAAGATTTGTTGCATTCAGCCGGCTCATATCAATCGTCTCCCAATGTAACATCAAACCTAATGAACTTAGTAATGCAATTCAGAAAAGTAAGGCTTACATTTGTTAAACTTTTTAAAATTCTAAAGTGAACTTGGGCCTTTTTAAGCCTACTCTGGATCAAATAAGACATACTTTAATAATTTTAAGGTTATAATTTGTAGGTGTGTAATCATCCGGAATTATTCGAAAGAAGAGAAGCAAGGTCACCATTTACTTTTCACTCTGCAGAATATATAGTTCCAAAATTAATCTACTTTGATAACTCGGATAGATTTAATTATTTAAAGAGACAACATATATTCGCCAACAAGTTTTGTATATTTAATGTAGAATATTTGCACAACAGTTGTTTTTCCAGAGATAATGGTAAAAATTCTAAGATGGATAAACAGATATTTTATATTGACATCTTATTGATTTTACAGATAAAGGATTAAATACGTTTTCATTCATGAGGCTTTTGAAACTTTCAGCTACCGAACTCAATCAATTAGTCAATAAAGGATTAATGTATAAGTAAATAATTAATATTTTAGTATATTTCAGGTTCAACTAATGTATTTATGAAATATACCGATAATCTTAAATCTTATTTTTAGGTTATTGTACGTATTAATACAACAGAAAATTAACAATTTGATACGAGAAAAAATATTTTGGGGTGACAACAGTATCGTGTGGCCATTTGTTGGAGATAATGTTCCAAAAAAGTTCAAATTTGTTACGCCAATAATTAATGACTGCACAATTACTCATACAACACACATTTACCATCACATGTATGAGACTATGGAACATAAATTACATCGTGTTAAACAAGTAGGGCTTTTCTGGGTAGAGGACTAAACTGAAAGAGTCTTTTAGTAATTTTCTTTGTTTTAATTTCAAAAGGCCAACTCTGAGCTAAATATAACATTGGAAAGTATTGAAAGTAAATCGACAAACGGCTATAACAACACCAGAACATCGCAAATACTTGAATGTTGGCCCACACAATTGCCGTCATTTGTGTATTTCTATTCTCCAAAAGTGGCAACAAAAGGTCGAGCGATATGGGTTACCGGAAGCAGGTCGGCCGCTTATGAATGGCAAAGACACGAAATGTGCGATTCGCCCGAAGGAAAAAATTTGCTGACAAACGGTCATCCGGACTTTAGCTATAACCAATGGTCTTGTGAAAATGTCGGAGGAATTAATGCACTTAGACCTAACAATGGGTGGTTCCACATTAGTATACCAGGTAATAGAGTTCAATCGATATTTGACCAACAGTTGATTGAGAATTTTTTAAATTTTAACTTTTTAATTAGACAAACAAAGCTTGGTTACCGATTGTGGAAAATTAACAATATTGGATAATTTACTTACTCAACTTAAACAAGAAAACCACAGAGTGTTAATTTACTCACAAATGACCAGAATGATTGATATTCTAGAGGTATAAATATTATATTCAAATCATTGAAAACATAAAGACGATTCTTACGATTTGCTCATTGTTTTAGGAATATATGTGGTATAAAAAACTAAGGTATATGCGACTTGATGGATCTTCAAAAATATCAGAGAGACGAGACATGGTTGCAGATTTTCAAAATCGGTAATTATTTAATATAGTCGTAATTGCTGTCTAGTTTTTAATTTGTTACACAAAACAATATTGGACTGTGATTTTTATTTATTTTATTTTTTTTAGATCAGACATATTTGTGTTTTTATTGAGCACCAGAGCTGGAGGGCTAGGTATAAATTTGACAGCTGCCGACACTGTTATTTTTTATGATAGCGATTGGAATCCAACAGTTGATCAACAAGCCATGGACAGAGCTCATAGACTTGGTCAAACCAAACAGGTTTGTTGATTTGAATCTTATTTATTGTGGCTGTGGAATAAAATGAAAATCTAATAGCTCGACTGTCATAGGTCACTGTGTATAGGCTGATAACGCAACACTCTATTGAAGAAAGAATTCTACAAAGAGCTAAAGAAAAAAGTGAAGTGAGTATAATATGGTTAAGTACATATTTTAATAAAAATCATCATAACTATTCTTGTTTTAGATTCAAAGAATGGTAATTAGTGGCGGCAACTTGAAACCAGACACTCTGAAACCAAAGGAAGTTGTATCGTTACTCTTGGACGACGATGAAATTGAAAGCAAATGTATGGATTAGTAGTGTTAGGACCTTTTTTTACAATATTTCTTAACAAATATTTATTATATTTTACTCATTTAGATCGTCAAAAACAAGAAGAACGCCGACAATTAGAAGAGACAAGAGCTGAGGGTTCTAAAGAGAAAGACCGCAAAAGAAAACAGGATAATATCAAAATTGAGAATTCTCCTAAAATAAAAAAACCTGATGAAGGAACGTCAACCGATGAACTTCCATTAAGTCCACGAAGCGAAGTAAATATTTTATCAAACTCAACAATATTGGGATGATTAGTAATCTGTTTTATTTTATTATTAGTTGTTATTGTTATTGGTAATAATTGTATAAATATTTATATTGGTACATTTGGTAGTGATTATTTTTAATTTATGTATTTTTTCTATGTTTTCAGAGCAGTTTTGTTCATGACGAAACTGGCAGTGAAACAACTATTGAGCAAGACGATTCTCCCACAAAATCATCGCCAAGTTAGTGTTTGCATTAATAAATACTAAATAAAATTATGTATCTCTGGCTTACTTTTATCATTTATTGTAGGAACTCCGACTTCAGCAACCAAACGTGGTCGTGTAGGACGTAGAAATCGGCCTTCGATTACGCCCGGTAATTTGGGTATGTTTCACAGTAAATTATATTATTTCATATTGTATTGTATGAACTAACTTACGCTTGGCTATTAATGACGATTATTGACTTTCTAGTTTCCGGTGATGATAACTCTAGAAAAAAAAGACTTATTATAGCCAAGCGAGGACCAGGTCGACCGAGACAAAAAACTTCGGTTCCGTCTAATTTGGGTTTTACTAGAGGTACATCAAAAAAGTCTTGAGTCTTGACTATTACTATTTATTACAGTAATAGTGTGTTACAGTGTCTTTCTTTTTTATCATTATATGTATAGTTTTTATGTTCGGTTGATAGTCAATACATTTTCAAATATTAAAGTCATAATGTATGTTCATGTATGTTTAAGCTTTGTAAATATGACACACTTATAACTGGTTTTTTTTTATATATATAATATTTTGAACAAACTGTGAGTATAATTAACTTTAAAAATAAATAATAAACAACAAAACTAATTTGAGTATTTTATTGATTTACAGTTTCTTAGTTATATCAATTTTCTAAATTTTATAGTGAAATATTTGCTCACTTTTTTTTTCATTAACATTGATGAGTGGTGACTAACAGTTTAAATGTGCAGTGTGCCATACTAGACACTGAAAAGCCATTACTTAATTTTTATTGGAAATTAGAACAATAAGAAAATTAATAATGTCACTCGCCAATAAAATTGTGTTATGTATATCGTGGGTTTTTATAATATTTCTTCAACCGCGACGGTATGCCTATTATTTCCAAATAAATTCCGAGATTTCAAACTACTTTTTCGACCACAACAATTATTCCATAGGTATACCTATAACCGTTAGAAATCTGACCGATTTATGCGAACATCTCTGTGAAATATGACACCGTTCAGGGGTTATTTTATGGCGGTTAGCAAAGATGGGGACGAGCAGACGTACCGTTCCTTCAAAACCAACAAGTACCTGATAAAATAGATAAAATAAAAAAACGTGAACACCACCTTTATTAGTATAAGAAAGTGTCGATAACAAAAGCAACGCTACAAACACACACACACACAAATACATCCGGCGATTCCGGTTATGTGTATTGTTCTTTTGAAGTATAAAATTTTTTAAAACGTTTATATGGAAATCGTACACGAAATAAAAAAAAAAGAGCGCATATAATGTTACAATTATTACCATTAGAATAATAAGGGAGACAATATAATATATATAAACAACAAAAAAAACCAGTACGAAAAATGAAACACGATTCAACGTAAGAAACGCTTCATGAATAATATTATTATTTTAATATGTATATATATTGCACTATACAACAATAATATTGTGCACGAAATGGAACGTCTTCGTCAACCTGAACCGATAGTTATCTACTGTAACTAGTAATAGTAGTAGGTATTTTATATACCTTGTGTGTGTGTGTGTGTGTGTGTAGCAAGTATAAGCGCACACGTGATCTTTCAAGGTTTATTTTTAATATAATAATATGTACAATTTTTGGTGGAAAGTTTTACAGATTTTATTATATCATAAAAACTAGACCCGAACGAATACAAGCGACGAATGCCAGCTTGTGTCGCACCTTGGATATGATATAGCGAGATCATTTTAAATAAAAAATAACTTAAATGTGGTAGCTATATTATTTTATTTTAGATTTAGGCTGTGATCTAGTACCTAATGGGCGGGACACTGTGAAGAGAAAAACATATTTTACTTGTTTATACAACCGGTAAATACATTTAGATCCTTATAACTACAACATACACCTATAACATTAACGGCTATAAGATAAGCAGTATTGTCAGCTGTTGTGTGATTCGCAGAGAGTTGTGCAAACAAATCGAAACAAGCGACAAGACGAGTAACGGAAGCGACAACAGGATAATGTTGAAAAGATAAAGCTAATTTATAAGATAATATGATTTAGGTGTGGCTCTGATGGCGATAGGCTGGTAGGGTAGTAAACAATTAGCGAGAGAGAGAAGAAAGAGCAAGGAAATTCAAATGGTTTGAGTACATATAGCTGTATTGTAATGGGAAGAGAAGATACAGTAGCTAACAATAATTGTTATTTGTAGTAGTAGTAATACTTAATAGCGATACATATTTGGAAGGAGGAAAGTGCAAGTGCTCTATCGAAAAATGATCAGTGGCGATTGAGGAAATTTGAAAAATAAAACTAACCGTACATCAGCATTTGACGGGTGTTTTGGATTTCACAATGCATTAGTCTGTGTAGTAAGTATAGGTAGATGCTCAAGTGACATCATTTGTTAATTTTTGTGGAAATATAATAAAGTTGCACGATTGAATAATTAACAATATTCGAAATTAGTCGTTTGAATAATAATTGGTCGACTATCATACCGCGTTTATTAGTTACAAAACTGATAAATAAACTTAACGAATTAGTACACTAAAGTCCTAAGTCGTATGTGGGAACTTTAAGCTTGGAAAATAAAATTTAGTTGACTGTTCAGAGTGTAAATGTGTCGATTGATTACGCAACTCAATTATTAAATTAATTTAGCTGACGCCATAATAATGAATATAAATTAGTGCACAAGCCGCTTTTGTTCAGTCGTTACGAGACTGACTAATTAACGAGTTATTTCGTTCAAATTATTTAATTTAAATAACATATTTTTTTTTTAATGATAGTCTAAAAAATTTTAATTCGGAAATATATTATTAACGGCATATTTATTATGGAATAATGTGCAAGTAATTTCTAATACCAATAGGACATTAAACTAATATTGGGACGATAACGTTTTTTTTTACAATAAGAAAATACATAATAATATGAAGTAAATTCAAACTCCAGGTTTACAAGAAGATATAATTAATCGGTATATGAAAATCCACACCATACATTTGCACTATGTATTCGTAAAATAAAAAGATGTATAACTTAAATAATATCTTCTTTAAGGTTCCAAGCGTTCGTTTGAAAGTGATTTATCAGACTCGTGATCTCTCCCCCCCCCCCTATGACCCATCCCCACTATGTACTCACCCCAATCTATTGGCTTTTTAATTATTTTTTAATTTTTAAGTTTGTCTAGTGGCAACATTTGATAAGATAGCGCGCTTTATACAACCATGTATAATATTAATTCAGTTGTAGGTATATCGCTTGTATGGTGTGAGACTATTCAACATAATGTGTTTGCAATTTGCATATTATGTGTAAATAGGTAAGAAATAGGCAGATAGGTATAAAGATAGATTAATTCGTATTATAATTAAACCAGAATAAATATTAAAAAAAAAAAAATGTATTAATCAACGCGGTATACTAATCACCGGATAATTATAATGTCGTTAAAATAAGTTTCCCAACATTATGGTAATGTGGAAAGATATAAATATACATTTGTATCTTACACCTTTAAGTTTTTCGTAGCTTCCGTTCAGACGGAGTTTTATAATATCAATATAACTGCCGTGATATTATTTCACAAAATAAAACCAAGACCTAGTTGAAGTTCTTGGGACCAGATAACCAGTCCCTCGCCTATCGAGGATCAAGAAAACTACCATATAGCTACCCCCTGATAGTGTAGTTCACAGCAGCAGCAGCCAACAGCTAACATCCTTGATCATGCATGTACTCAAGTCCAGGACAAGCGCTACCGGGTGCACTTGTACCTACTACCTACTTACTTGTTACATTAGGTACACGAGGCACGCGTACTATGTTTTCTATGTACAGGTATACACGCTTGCTCCAAGAAGAAGACACGTGAAGCGCAACAGGCACCGGTGGTGGAGAGAATAAGACAACCGTGAAGACCACGAACCCGTGGTTCCCTATGAACCAGACCAGAACATATCGGCGCAATTAGCGTCACCGAACGGCCTATACACAACGCTATACGGTGGAGATGGTCGGTTGGTGCGTTGTGCTTGGTTTTGCTCGGTTGCCCACCGTGGTTGGCCATTTGGAAACCTGGAACATCCTACAGGCGTATTATAACGTCTTATATGAGCACATAATACACAATATGTTATATACGTGCCTTAACCTAGCGGTAATTCTTGGCTTGGCTTGGCTCTCTCTCTCTCTCTCCATTTATATAATAATAATAATAATTTTATATATCCTTTATACGAATATAATACGTCATAGAGGATACAGAACAATAATAAAAAATATATATATTAATGCCCGGCCAAATAATATAATAAAAAAAAAAATTATACAGGTGTAGGTATTGTTGTTAAGTTTTTTTTTATCTTAATTAATAGAGATATGAGCAAACATAGGGATATAATGCCGGTTATAGCTATACGATAATTTCATTATAAAGTATACATAATATAAAATATGTACATCATAACATATTATATTATAATTGAATTATATCGTACCGGTAGTTTTAATTCAGTCGAGTAATTAGTTGGTACATATTATTATTATACATAACTTGGTTGTATAAGAACGGTATTGAAGATAGTCGGTAAGTACAGCTGCGTGGACAGTGTCGGCAAAGCTCGTGATCTGGCACAGTGATTATTATCAATATCGTCTCATAAGGGCATATGTTTTCTAGTATCCAAATATTGATCACTAGACATGTCTAGGGGCTGTAATTGCTTGAGTATAGTGTAAAAATCGGTTTCGGGCAATCGCGAGACTTAAACGGTGGTTGAGCGATTTCCGGCGCGGCAATAGGTATGGAAAAAATGACACCGATTTTTGTACATGTTATTATTATACCCATATAGTGTATATTTATCAGGGTATTTAAGTAAATCGTTGCGGTTAGGTTTTCTTGTTAGTACGGCCGCAGGCGAAGCATATGAACACCTGCGCCGGAGAGCTCGCGGATATATGGTCTGAATACTCTGTCAAGTTTGGTTAACGTTGTCAGATTCTGGTTTTGGAATGAAATCAAATGCGAAAAAAAACCATTATCCGAAAACAGCCAATGTTGTTTTGAGAAAAACCCATTTGGAGTTTAAAACTAAGCTGGACTTATGGCGTTTTATATATATGTATTTTTTAAGTAAACGCAAGTGACTGCCATATTTTGAGATGAGAACGCACACTGTAAAACGTAATGCAAAGCGAAATGGTGTTAAAAATTAGTGTAGTTTTCCAAATTTTGTTATTTTGTTTATTATGAAGAAATCAACATTATTATCCGTACTTTAGCATACTTTAATCATACTAACATCAGGCGCGGTTTCAGGATGTCTGATTGGGGGGGGGGGGGGGCATCAAATAATATCAATAGAGATTATCAGGGTTTACTATGTTAACATTTTTTTTTAATCAGGATAATTATGATTGAGACGAAGTTTAGGTACCTCGAAATTATTTATTTAAGTGGATCAAAATTGAAAATATTACGTGCAGACATTGGTGCCCTAAACGATCGTTATTTTTCATTATATTTTAGTTCCAAAAAGTAAACTTCAATA